GATTTGTATACCCTGCAGCTTTCGGTGCGATGTCCGAAATCCCGGTGATAGGAACACCTAACCTTTTGATCACGGGTGGAGGGATCGCTCTGCATCCTGGGCGGCCACTTGAAGAACGGCTCATGCTTGATTTTATGGAGCAACTTGAAGATGGGTTCCTTGAACATAGTATGAACCCCTTTGGACGAACCCCCTGGAGGGGGTAGCAATCCCTTTCGGGGAGTATCCTCCCGCTCCCTCTCTTTTCTCTTAGATTGGAGGGTTCGGCCTTTGCTGCTTCCCATCTCGTCCTCGATCCTTGAGTATTTGTTTATCCGGGCCATCAGCTCGCCCATATCCGAGGGAGTCTTCTTGGTCAGGGATCGGTACAGGTCCGTGTCCCTCGCCAAGCCGAGCCTGAAAGACGCCGCTGCCATGACTTCCGAGCAGCCTTCTACCTCATTAACCTCTTCCCAGTATCGGATGGCATACTGGCGAAGGGTCTCGGATTCCCTACGTCTGAGCGTTAGCAATGATCCAACGTCTTTGGGCCGCTTACTCCCCGTAATGAATCGAGCCAGGAACTGCCTCGTCAATTCCTTCCACGATCCAATACTGTTGGGGGAAGCGCCTCGAACCACTTCATCGCAGAGTCCCCCAAGCTCATAGGAAACACTCGGCAGAGGAACCGTTGGTCCGAATGATAGAGGGACATCATCTGCTTGTATTGCCTGAGATGGGCTTCGGGATCGGACCGCCCGTCATAAGTTTTGAACCTCGGCACGACAAACTTTCTTGAAACCTCCATCTCTCCGATCTCCCTGGTAAAGGGTGTTTGTATGACCTCGTCTTCGACCTCATCCTGGACAGCCTTACTCTTTCTCCTGGATTCCAACCGGGCTCTGAGATCAATTTCCTCCCTGACGGGATGTCTTCTGAAGTCTTTGAGTTCATCAATAGGCCCCCCATTTCCTGGGCGCCGTGTGGATAGGGTAGAATCCTCCTCGGACTCATCTCCCTTCCTCCGTCTAGACAATCCTCGCCGGAGGTCATCCAGGGCTAATGGTCTTGCCTTCCTTGAATGGTCGTTAGGAGGGTGCTCGTTGGCTCTCGGTCGCTTTGGGGCCCTGGAGCTTTCTGCCTTGTTGTTTAGATGATTCCTTAGATCCTTCGTTTCGCCTCCCGGGCGGGGAGCCCACGAGAGAGGAATGAGTCCCTCGACCCTTCGCCGGAGGCGGCAAATTCGTTGAGCCGGCTTAGGACGTTTACATTGTCCTTTTCCAGCTGTCGTAATCTATCGCCAAACTTTTCTTCGATCACCTCCGCCAGCTGACGAGCCAGGGGGGCTGATCCTCCTGACCTGATTCCCATACTGGTTTGAGGGGTAACCCCTCTTGACTGAGTAGAGGCATTTTTATTCCCATCAGTGTGATCCCTTCCTCCGTGGTGACAGGGAGCTTGTAATTCGAGACTTCTTTGGTGGGGACCTTTCCCTTTTTGTCGAGTGTTCACCATGGTCACTGTTCTTTATAGAGAAAAAACTAGGAAAACTAGTCGTTTCCCACAGACGGCGCCAGATTGTGCGTGCTAGATCTTGCACAATATAAAAACGAGAACAGATCTCTCCCTTGGTGAACTCGAGTGAGTCAGTTGAGTGGTCAACCACGCTGCTTGGAACAGCCTGTGAGATCCGGTGGTAACCTGGAACGGTAATGGGAGACCCTCGCGGATCAAAGGAACGATCCAGTAAGGCTGAAGAAAGGTTCCTGGAACAAAGAAGAACAAGTTAGAAGGGCGCCGGAGTGTTTTCGGCGTATCCCCTCCGACGATCAAGTCAGTTTTTGAGAGAGAGGAAGAAGAAAACACTGAGTATAATTTGTAGCAAAAGTTTCACCTCCTTTTCTTGCCTTTAGTGAGGAGTATTTATACCTCAAATACTCATGATTGCTGTCAGTGTGGTCAGTAGGTGATCATTAGATACAGGCAACGTGCGCACTGATTCCTATGAGGAATGTCTTCTCTCTTAACTGCTCGGGACCCCGAGCAATCAAGACTGTGTCATCGGCCTGCCGACGGTTCAATGAGCTCCTCTCGGGGAGGATGCAATAAATGCCCAGCCTTAGAGACATTTATTGTCTTTCACTTCTGAGCCTTACCGCATTGAATGCAGTCTCATCAAGGGAATGATGTAATTAAATGCTTGTTTTCTCAAGTCGCGTGTCAGCAAGGTCATGCGGTCTTTCTGTCTCTGATGTGACACAATATGCCACGCGTCCATTCCTCATTGGCTGTGGCCCCTGCCTTCCTGTGCCTTCTGACACCAATTGTGTAAGACGAGGTCATGATAGCTAACCTAGCCTAGCCTAGGCTAGTGACCAGTGCATCAATAACCTCTGCTGGAGCAGAGAACTTCATCATGGATGAGAGGGGTACATCTCGGTACCGAGGAAGAGGTACATCTCGGAGCCGAGGAAGAGGTACATCTCGGAAACCGAGGAATAGGTACATCTTGAATCCGAGAGGGGGAGGCCTAGCGACCGATGTACCATATCAGACCGAGGGTACGTATCGGTATATAAAAACATACTGGATGCCACTCGATCCCATGATAAGTACCTCGGGGTAGAGGGGACTTGTGACCCGATGGGTACGTGATCTCGATAACAAGGATCAGTGACACCGAGGACATGTGTCTTCATCTTGGAGTATTCCGGAAATGTCCCATCATTAACAAATTATAAAACATGATATAATAAACCCCCCCCCCCCCCCCCCTTTCCTTTGGATATGGGTTTCCTTGAGGTGAGCCATCTGTGTTCAGCTTGATCCACTTTTCTAGTAGAGCCTACCAGCTTAATAATCTTTCGGATCTCACGGGTCTTTGGGGAATGTGGGTCACGCAAAACAATTCAAAAGCTCCAGTGATAGAGGACTTACAGATTTCATTTTGGAAGATGAGTTTGTTTCTGGTGAATTAGATTGATGCAAATGTTAGTGGGATCTCCAAGGGAGGTGTGATTGATAAGGGACTCGTGTGATGATTTACAATTTATTTTGAGTCATTCAAGAAGTGGCTTTGGGAAAGCGTGACTGAGGTTAGAAGGAATTCCTATCTCGGTCTAGACCTTTTTGGGTTGGTCACATTCCCTTAAAGCCATGGATGGTGGATTCCTCTTGGACTCCACACTCTGTACATTCCTGATTGGGGATGATTTTCCTATGGTGACTGTGGACCTTGGCTGGGAGTGTTCCAATATGCATGTAGTACTGTCGAATTGCAGTTGTAACCGAGGAAATCAAGGTAGCCCTTCCAACCAAGGACAAAAAGCTTGCCTTCCACCCAATCAAACGTTGTCTTACCTTATCAATGACTAGAGATAACCCGTGCCTAAAGGTACGACAAATGAAAAGTGATATATTTGGGAGAGGGAAACAAATTTAATGTGAATGATTTTTACAGAAATACTTATGACTGTTGGATGAGTCTATTTGAAACTAAAAGGGGTGCAAGGCTTCGTTCGAATAGGTATGTTTAATGATTTATGCCTTCTAGTTCCGCTTGAATAGTTGTTGTCTCGTTGAATAGTTGATTTTCCTAATCAATCTAGAGGTTACCAAGCCCGACAAAAGTTTGAGGTCTATCAAAAGTAAAATCAAAGAGGCCACTAGCTTGGGATAAATAAACCTTTGAATTGGTTTCCATGCTTTGTTTGCAACCATAGTCTCTATCATGTGCGAAATTAAGGACATTCATACAGCTAAAAAGCAAATAAGGTGAAAGGAGGTCCCTTGTTTAACTCCCCTGGTTGCTTAGAGCCAGTCTGGCACATTGCCATTCAGAAGAATTGCTAATTGTGTGGATTTCACACATGCCATAATAAGATTGATGATTTTTGAAGGGAAATAAATCTTCCGAAGAGTGAGTTTTGGAAAATTCTAGTCTATCCTGTCATGTCTTTTCAATATCTATTTTAATTACCATCGCTACTTTTCTTACTTTTTTTTTTTGACAAGTGATTGTATGACTTATTGAGTGATAATAACATTATCAACACTTTGTCATCTTGGAATAAAAGTTGTTCGGCATGGATGAATAAAAGTTCTCAATAAATATGAATTTATGATCAATTGAAAAAAAAATTAAAATTTATTAATGTGTCCACCTTAAAATAATTTTTTGGCTCTGATAAAGACTGAATCAAACATCTATATAATAAAGTAGCTTACAATTCAAATTTTAAAAAATAAATAAGATGGCTTTTACTTTTCGCAGTTTAGATCACTTTAAATTTTACGTTAAAGTTAATCTAACGGCTAACTTTAACACCCTAAATTTAATAAGAAAAATAGGATCCTAAGGGTTGTGTTTAGAGTAATTTTTTAAAAGTACTTTTATAAATTATTTCTCATAAGTACTTTAAAAAAAAAAAACTGTTTGAAACTGCTCCACCACTACCTCTACTACCGTCGTTGCTACCATCTCCGCCACCCCTCCCCCCACCACCGTCACCCTTCCGCCACCGCCACCGCCACCGCCACCCCCACCCCCACTCCCACCACCACCACCACTATTGTCACCGTTGTCGTCGTCTCCACCACGGTCGTCGTCGCCACTGCCACCACTATCGCTGCCGCCAAAACCACCACCACCACAATCATCACGGTCTCCTACCACCACCTCTACCGCCCACCACCTCTCATCCCCACTACAAACCGATGTTTAAATTCATTTATTTCTGTTTTATGTTTGTAATTTGATTTTGAATATAAATACAAATATGTTTATGATTTATTATTTTTTATTATTCTGTGTTTTCAGAGACAGACAATAACTAGTGAGTAAATATTAGATGTAACTATCCAATAAAAAAAAATATATATAAAATAAGATTTATTTTTTATCATTGAGATGATTATGTATTATATGATTCAGTATTTATGAGTTTTAGTAGGGTTTATTTATTGGCTTATTTACTTCTTAGGGACAATTACACTATCACTGCAGGCGTGACAAATATTTTTTCGCCAAACACGACTTGTCCCGCGCCTGGGTGGCCCAATGCTGAAACCCACCCAACGGCCAACTGAAAAGCAAAGAACACATCCACAACCTTTGAGTATTATTTCTTGCAATTAGGCTGTTTTTGTCTCGTCTCCTTGAGGAATCATCGATTAGAATCATGCCAACCCAAAACCCCTTTCTTCAGTTCCATATTTAAATCCAGCAATAACACAACACTTCCGAACTCTCATCAATGACCGCCCAGATGCTTTTGTCTCAGTCACAGTCCATGTCTCGAACAGTGCTCACTTTTTCACCCACCTCCCACAATCCTCAGTTCTTCAGTCACCACAAAACCACCCAATTGAATGTTTTTACACCCAGAAATCAAAAACTCAAATTTCCCTATGTTTATGCTCTAAAAATCCCAGATGTCAATGTTTTGGGGAAATCCAGGTATGGGAAATCAGGGTCTTTCAATTCCCAGTTGGTCTGTCACACAAAACCATGCAATTGGATAGTTTCAGACCCAGAAGTCAAAAGCAAAAGTTTCTGTCTGTAAACCCTCTGAAACCCCAAGATTCTAGCGGTTGTAGAATAGGTATTTTCCTACTAAGGTCTTGCAGTTTCCAATTTTTATGTAACAACAATACTATACAATTGAGTAGTTCTAGACCCAGATACCAAAAACAGAGAATTTTGTGTTTTGACCCATTGAGAACCCAAGATTTTATTAACCCCCAGCTTGGTGAGTCCAAATTCGGTTATTATGGCGTGAGGCGGAGGAATAGGAGCTTGATGGTGAGCTCAAAATCAGTGATGAGTGTAGATAAAGTGTTGGAGAGTGATGGAAGGGAAGGAGTAGGTGGCAATAGCAGTTACGATGCCATTGTTATTGGGTCAGGGATTGGTGGATTGGTTGCGGCGACGCAGCTAGCCGTGAAGGGAGCTCAGGTTTTGGTGCTGGAAAAATATGTGATTCCTGGTGGGAGTTCTGGGTTCTATCAGAGGGATGGCTTTACATTTGATGTTGGATCATCAGTGATGTTCGGTTTCAGCGATAAGGTTAGTTTGAAGATCATCAGTTCTTTCTCCTACAGATATAAATAGTGTAGAATGATGAATTGATTAGTGAAGACCTGGAAAACATGTCTAACAATTATCAATTCAACAAAGTAAATTACACATTCCGATGAAATTGCATACTTTTGCTAATGTGTAGATAACAGGATTTATATTTGTTGTAGTTTGCTAATAATATATGAGACAGTACTTATGCAAAAAAATCCCAGTTCCTTACAAGTAGCATATTTAATGCTTCATTGCAAGAGTAATTGGCATTGTTGTTAATGTCTCCAGCATCTCACTCTAGTTTCTGTGTGTTTTCATTCTTGAGGTACTTGTTTCCACTGACTCTATTGTTTATAGGTGTATTCATTTTTTTTGGAATAACTATGTATGCTTCAAATATGGCAGGGTAATCTAAATTTGATAACTCAAGCATTGGCAGCTGTTGGATGTAAGATGGAGGTGATACCCGATCCAACAACTGTCCATTTTCATCTACCAAACAACCTTTCTGTACTAGTACACAGGGAATATAGTGAATTCATTGCAGAACTTGCTAGTAAATTTCCCCACGAAAAGGAAGGGATCCTCAAATTCTACAATGAATGCTGGAAGGTCGGTTTGGATTGAGGTGACTGCAGCTTCCTCTAAATGTCTTCATCTCACAATCCACTGTTCAAACTTTCACTGACAACTTATATGCTTGGTCGATAGATTTTCAATGCCTTGAACTCATTGGAATTGAAGTCCCTTGAGGAGCCAATTTATCTTTTCAGACAGTTTTTCAAGAAGCCTCTTGAATGCTTGACACTCGGTAATTGGTTTTACATTTATTTGCTCTGGTGAAATGTTCTTCATATTACGATGATGGTGTCGATAGATGGTGAATATTTACGGATTAAGGCTCCCTTTAAGATATCTTTTTGGCAGTACTGTCTGATTGAAAATGTGATGTGTTACTATGTATATTATTTTTCTTATAAAAGGTGAGAGTAATGTTAAAACGAGGCTGGAGAAAAAACACAATTACTTTATAAGCAGCTATGCACCAAAATATATTACTATCAAAACACGTTCCCAAACCAAGTAAACAAAGCCTCATCTCTACCGTCTATGGATGGAAGCACATCATGAATAAGGGATGATTGTTTTATCATTAATGCAAAGTTTATATGCACCGTCGCAACTGAAATGTCACTAGATGAATATCTTACTAGTTTTGGTATCTTTTCCAGCCTATTATTTACCCCAAAATGCTGGAGACATTGCTCGTAAGTACATAAAAGATCCTCAGCTGCTGTCCTTTATAGATGCTGAGGTGGGCTGACATTATTCCCTTCATCAGTTTTACCATATTTGGGCTTTGGGATTATTATATGGCATGTTTCCTTGATCTCTAAAGAATAATTTGACTGATGGTGTTTTGCAGTGTTTTATAGTGAGCACTGTCAATGCTCTGCAGACACCAATGATCAATGCAAGCATGGTAATTTTTTTTTCTAGCTTTTGTCTTCCTTATCCTGTTTCCTGAATCCTGATATACTTTTTGTTCTAGGTTCTATGTGACAGACATTTTGGGGGAATTAATTACCCTGTTGGTGGGGTTGGTGAAATTGCAAAGTCCTTAGCGAAAGGATTGATGGATCAGGGCAGTGAAATAATTTACAAGGCAAATGTGACAAGCATTATAGTTGACCACGGAAAAGCTGTGAGTTTGACCTTAGACTGGGATAAGTGAGGGTAAAGTTTCTAGGTGTTAGATGTGTGAGAAGATGATTCTGTTACTTATTCTGTACTAGTCTGCATTTTGTAGGTAGGGGTGAGACTGTCAGATGGAAGGGAGTTATTTGCTAAAACCATAATATCAAATGCTACTCGATGGGATACGTTTGGTTAGTGCTCACAGTATATGTTTAACTTAAATATGACTAATTTTGGTCTAGGTTGCTGCTATTTCTTTCTATAGCTTCTTCTACTCTTTTAAGAGTTTTCTGATTAAATGCATTAATCGGGTTTTAGGAAAGCTTTTAAAAGGAGAAGACCTACCTAGAGAAGAAGAAAGTTTTCAGAAACTTTACGTTAAGGCCCCTTCTTTTCTTTCTATTCACATGGGGGTTAAAGCTGATGTTTTACCACCAGACACAGATTGCCACCATTTTGTACTTGAGGTACTTGATTTTTTCAGAGCTCATTTGTTTGACAGTTCTGTAGGATTCCAAGTAAGTGATTGATGTACTCAATTTACTGTTTTCCTTTTTTGCACAGAATGATTGGACATATTTAGAGAATTCTTATGGAAGTATATTTTTAAGCATTCCAACCGTTCTTGATTCATCATTGGCTCCAGAAGGACACCATATTCTTCACATATTTACAACTTGTTCAATAGAGGACTGGGAGGTGATGTACTATTGACCTATTTATATTGGAAAGCTCTCTCTTCTTAGGGGAATGTTGAAACTTATATTTTTGCTCTTCTCTCTCTCCTTTTCCTTTTGTATTTTTTGCCTCCTTTCTTAGTTGTTTTTTAGGGTAGGAATAGTGAATCTATGTAAAATTATCCTAAAATTAATGCTCATGTTCATGTAATAGGGGCTGTCTTTAAAGGATTACAAGGCAAAGAAGGATCTTGTGGCAGATGAAATCATAAGCAGACTGGAAGAGAAGCTGTTTCCTGGTCTTAAGTCTTCCATTGTCTTCAAGGAGGTACCGGTCATAACCTTGCGTACCTAATACTCTGGCAACTTTACACATGTTCTAGACAGTAGAACTTTCTCATGACCAATATAAATTATGGAAGTGGTTCATTAAAGTTTGTTATAAGTTGGCAGAATCTGAATTATGATCATCAGAAATGAGTAAGATTTCCATACTTCAGTTCTGATGAGAATTTTCCCACATATCTTGGAACTTTGTGAAAGCTCATGAGCTAAGTTTTAAATAGTGCATAGTCTGATGAGTTTTTGTGAAAGTTCACGAGATAATTTTTAAATTAGTGCCTAGTCTGATGAGTTTTTTTTTTTTACTAGCAAAATTAAGTTTCTGTTGTGGAATTCACCAACTCTATGAGAGTGCACCAATCTCTCACCATAAAAAATCTGATTTTGTAATGGAAGTAAAGTCATTGAAGATCACCAAGTTTTGATACTTGATGGCTTGGGAGTTGCCGTTTATATGTCTATGTTGAGTTGGATGATAAAATTAAATCTCTTGGACTCATTTGAATTTCCTCATTTTTTGAGGGGTGGCCTTCTATTAATGCTTTTTACATCGCCAAATCAACTTAATAATTGGAAAAAGCCTGCTTGCTTTTTGTTTGCGCCTCCAATACTTTAGTTAAGCACGCGCAAATTGGGTGTTTGATTTATTTATTCCCAAAAAAACCAAAAAACTCCGTTAGTTATCAATGTGATGTGGCTTAACATGAAATGATCTTTGTTTAATAGTCGACACCAGTCTCCGTAGTGACAGGCACTCAGTGTACTTCTTGCTATGGACCATAAGACTTTGTACTGGCTCCCATTAGGTAAAATAGAGTGTGACAGTGTTAAATGTATCCAAAAGAAATATATACGTGTGTGCATTACTTTCAAGCCATTGGAGTCATTGATTTAATTATTTCGAGCAATTTTAATGTTGACAAAAGATGGACTTTTCAGTTTTGTCACTTTTGTTTCCAGAAGATCAATTCAACTTGAAATTTTCCAAAATATCAAGTCTCCAAGAATCTGAGAAACTCGTGGTTAGTTTTCTCATATGTTGGGGAGATTATGTTGAATGTGTGCACAAGGGAAAATCTGGAATTTTGTATGGAGCAGGCTTTGAGCATATGGAATGAAGTTAAATTTAATTATGCTATTTATATTATGTTAGGTATTGTAAACTACAGACTCAAGGATATTGTAATCTTTTAAAAATTACCAGATATATGTTGTATCCATAGTCCTTTGGCAGATTTTGGGTATTATATGAGTTTTAATTGAATCGTCTGTATTAGTGTAAATTTTTAAGTGTTCTTAGCTTCCTAATTGTGGTTTGTCCTAATACTTGAATTGTAGAAGAGATTTATTGGAGGCATTTCCCAAAATGTAATTAAATGTTGAGGTTGTTTTGAGAGAAGACTTAAGAGTTGTCAGTTTCCTTGCGCAAACTTTTGTCTGCCTCAAAAAATCGAAGTCTCTCACACACATACATGTTATTTCCATTGACGTTTGGTTATGGTACCGTGCTCCATGTCAGAAATGGGAGCAAATTAACACCAAGTCAAGAACTTAATTTTAGTCGGACGTAGCTAGTCTGAGTAGGCTTTCTATATCATCTCAGTTTTCATAATTGTGTTCTAAGATTTGATAGTAACTTTGATTATGGCAGGTGGGGACACCAAAGACACACAGGCGGTACCTGGCTCGTGATAGTGGTACCTATGGGCCTATGCCACGCAGAACTCCAAAGGGTCTATTGGGAATGCCATTCAACACAACTGTGAGCTGAATAACTTCCAAGAAAAGATTAGGCATAAGTGTTACTCTTGCTTATTTGCACATTGATTAACTGGGCATGTTATAATTGAGCTTGCAGGCTGTAGATGGATTGTACTGTGTGGGGGATAGTTGCTTTCCAGGGCAAGGTGTTATAGCTGTAGCCTTTTCAGGAGTAATGTGTGCTCATAGAGTAGCTGCTGACATTGGTAAGCATATTTTATAAACCTTCCTCAATTGTTAAATGCTAGAGACATCCGCTGAAATTACAATGAATGACTTTGTGACAGTGCCCGACTAACTTGTTCTAAAACTAGAACACTTGATGGATACAATTATTTGCAAAATTGGAACATTGTTGGTAGCTGAAAGACCGATCTCTTGTTAATATTTTTGAGCTGTTTTTCTTTTATTTGATTAGAGGTATTCCTTTTCCTCCCCCAGGGCTAGAGAAGAAGTCACCAGTATTGGATGCTGCTCTCCTTCGACTACTAGGTTGGTTTAGGACATTAGCATGAGTTCCACCGTCAATATGTGAGAAGCATCATGGTCATTTGGCTGGAACAGCATGGCTTGCATCTGAATTTTTAGTGATCAAGACCTAGTTGAGATGCAAAAGGATGTTTGTCCTATTTTTTCAAAAGGTGTTTCCCCCGGGAATCTTTTGTGGTGGCCATCAAATCCAATGGAGGTATTTTGTGACATTGGGGTATTAGTTGATTTCAGCTATTAAATCATCTGTTGTAAATTTTCTGACACGGGGGTATGTATGCATACTCCAGAATTCTCTTTATGATATTTGATATAGAACAATTTTTTTCTGCTACCCATGCCCTATGCAAATAGTTACAGGGGTCTCAATTAATCGAGAGCAAAACTTGTCTCTGTTCTCATTGATCTAAGCTTGAAGTCGACGCTTCATCCCTTGTAGAGATATGTAATGCCCAGAAACAGTTGTTGCCAATGCCGGCTGTTAGGGTACCCACTTCCTCAAGCCATCTTATAGGCTAGCAAAACAGAATACTAGCCACTATATCCTGTAGTTTCCCGAATACCCATGTTGACACAACATAAATCATAGATCAGGATGGACGAATTGAGCATGCAATGCGAGAGCTGTCATAGGAACATTACAAGGGCATGTCATGGTAATCGTATGTCAAACATGTACATAGCTACTGTCAGAATACATGTTCAACAAAAGGAGGAAACTAAAGCTGAAGTACAAACGTAAACTAAAGAGACTGGAAGAAATATGAACAGTTTTATCGAGGACAAAAGAGCCTAATGACTAACACTCAAACCCTAAAAGGGTGTGAAAACACAGTCGCCCTTTCTGAAGGCTAACTGATCTTTACAACAATTATGGACTCCCAAGTTTCCCAATACTACAGGTTTCCTTCGCGTTTTCTGACGAATGATCAGTCCGTGCGTGATTCCTGATAATGCATCGCTCCGCATATAATCTTTGCAAAAGCTTCTTTCTTCGGCAAACACAACTATTATATGCATTTCCGCACTCTAAGATCTGGTATTATCAAGCTTTAAAGGCATCCCTGGACTAAATACCTACACTGTTTTTGCAATCACTTCTTGAAACCAGCGTTGTGTGCTAGGATCAAGTATTATCAAGCTTAAAGGCTTCTCTGAACTCAATGCCTCCACTGTTTTGCAATCCCTTCTTGCCAAAACCAGTGTCTTGCATCATAGCGACAAACTCATTGTAATCGATGCGCCCATCCTGAAAAAAGCAAATAGTGAGCAATAGAGAATGTAAGATCATTTATTCTTCTCTCGAATATGAGTAGTGATATATATTGGTATTCGTATTGGAAGATGTTTACATTATCCTGATCAACTTCACGGATAATGTCTTCTATGTGAACGTCTTCCAAACCAAACTGCTCACAGGCCTGTTGCAGCTCGTCTGCAGTGATCCAACCACTCCCATCTTTGTCAAAATACGAGAAAGCTGCGTACATATGATCCTCTCTTTGGACTTTGTTTAGATGGAGCATTGCGGCTACAAACTCACTATAGTCTATGGTACCACTGTTGTCAATATCCGCCTGCAATATCCAAAGCATAAGGCCAATAAATTAGAAACAGAGAGAATCAGAGGTCACTATATACAGAGAATGCAAATGCAAGCCTAGTGGAGCACATAAACAAGGCCAGGTCTGAAGACTGAAGAATAAAACCCTAAATGCCTTTTTCTGTCATTCATCGCATTATGATCAATCTTGAACTAGTGCATCCTTCTAATTTACCATCTAGCTCTTTTTGAATTACTCCTTGGCCTTTCTAATCTCATCCGTATTTCGATCAAAGCAAGAAGGTTGAAGTTTCATAAATGAAGGACCTCTTTCTTTCCAACCTTACTCAAAAGGGGGTGGGAGAGGAGCAGTTCTTAAACAGAAGAATGGCGATAAAGAGAAAGTTACTCAAATGCAAGAAAAAAAGATTAGAATTTGAAGTCAAGTAAGAAGGAAGGAGGCTAGTCCCCAGAAATGCTCCACATTTTATAATATTTTCTACTCATAAACTATAGTACCATACAACTCTGGGCCATTAATAGAAATGAGAAAAGTAAGTCCTCTGTTATTGATAACCAATCACAACGCCATATCCAGATCTGGTCAAATCCATGTTCTGTGCCCTATGCTGATCCACAAAACTTCAAAAATTTCAATTTCTCAACAAACTTCAACTATTTAATTGATATTATTTGAAATCCAGGACAAAAAAAATATTAACAAAAACATTTCCTTTCATAAAAAATTAAGAGACATTCTAATAGTTCAAATGTGTTTATTCCACAATTCTAATCAAAATTTAACAACGATTTTGATAATTAAATACTTCCAACTAATATTTTAACTATAAATTTGTTCCACACCAACTTAAAAACTCAAGAAAGCAAGGAAGAGAGCTTCCACTAGCTCCAACATAAAGAACTCTAGGTTGAAAAAAATGGCTTTGACAGATGCAAAGAACAAAATACATGCAGATCATTAGACAGAATGCAATTGATTAAGAACTTTAATTTGCACTCACCGCTTGCATTAAACCATTGATTTCTGAATCCTTGAGATTGGCACCAACTCTCTCCAACCCCTTTTTCAGTTCCTCAAGCGTGATTTGTCCACTACCATCTGCATCAATCATCTTGAACATTTCTTTGAGTCCAGCAATTTCCTCTTCAGACATACTGTCTGCAATGACCTGAAAATAATATGCAAAGGTTGTTTTCATAACCCGGATATGGATGAAGATATTAGTTTAGAATACTTTAGATCTTATAAAAAATGACAATATTCTTTCAAATTTCCACAACTATAAAATACAAAAGAAACATTGTAACTGGAGCAACATTCGAACAGATAAGGGCCTTTTCGTGTATAATCCTGCATAATCTCGAATGTTATCAGTGCTAACTTTGATCGATCATAGAAAAGTAAGAGAAGAAGAACATAATATAATTAAGGCACAATAAGCCAGAACAACCTTAAAGGAAAACTATTTAAAAGAAAAACTACTATATAAGAGGTCTTTATATCGTAGGGCAAAAGGAAAACAATCAGACTAAGCTAGGGCAACATAAAAATAAACAAAATGACTAAGCTACCCCTAAGTCTAAATAACCTAACTACGCTAGCATCCTCCCTCAAACTCATGATGTAGTAGCAGAAAATATCAAGAGTTTGCCAAGAAGAAAACGAAAGCAAGTGACAGGATGCGATTTTCTGAAGAAATCTGTTAGCTGCATACAGTCCTCCCTTTCTACGGCGTGTCCCAATCAGCTTGTTGGACTGTGGATCCTGAAGGACCTGAGATAAATGAACCTACTGAAGGAGATACTGTAAGTGTACCAGGCTAATGGAGAGAGATTAACTTTTGCAACTGATCAGTAAGCATAGTTAGACTGAGTGCCAGTGAGGAGGACTCATCCACTGGTGGTGTTGCAACTGTTGACTGATTTGTTGTCCCCTTTGCATTTTTGTTCATCAGTTTAGGGCGTTGAGCCTTCCAGTGGCCCTTCTCATGACATAAGCTACACTCATCTAAAACTACACAACTCCGATATTTAAAAGTCACCATGGGAGGTACAGCCAATACAGTCTGAGTAGGCAATGGAATAAGACTTTTCCTAGAAAGAGTCTTAAGATGAATTTCTTCAGCCAGAAGCTCATTCACTACTGCATCCACTGAGGGAAGTGGATTACGATGAAGAATAGAACCACGATGTCTCTCGATGTCATCCCTGGGGCCATCAAAAATTGTACCAACCTCTGCTCCTCTCTAAAAATGCGATATATCATATGAGTACTCAGTTCAACAAGTGCTAACTGATCCCAATATCCAGTCATAACTGAGTAGAACTCCTGAATGTTCTTATCACCCTGACATGCAGCTCAAATTTTATGCTCTAACTGATACCTCTTTGCAAAATTAGACTGAACAAATAAGGTAGCTAAATAATCTCAAATCTCCTTGGCTGTATTAAACTTAGTCAAATGAACACCAATGGTTTGATCAACTAAGTTGTTAATCCAAGTGATGATTTTAGCGTTGTTGATTTCCCAAATATTCTTTAAGTCAACATATTTCTCGACCTTAGGATCAGTTGGAGCTGACGAATCACCACTAACATATCTCCACATTTCCTTACCCAATAAGAAATTTTTCATTATATAAGCCCAATATATATAGTTCTCACATTTTAATCTGACACTGATAGCCTTAAGAGAATCAGAATTTTCACTGGCCATAATACCCAAATTAAGCAATCCAAAGCAAATATTAAAGTAAACAAACAAAATCTAGCAACCCAACAACCTAGCAAAATCCAACAACCCAACACCCAAATAGCAAATAAGGGCCCAACAGAAAACCAAAGCTCAATAACTTTGCAAGTCAAATGTTCACCCAGCCGTTCATTTACAAAATCAGCCCCAAAGGCTCATACCCACCAATCAGTAAGAAAGAAAACAAAAGTTTCCTACTTATTCAGTGCGAAACAATGCAAACAAACTCAAACAATGCAACGCTATGTCAAATAGCAAGCCCAAACAAACAATGCAAACAAATCCAGACAATGCAACGCTATGTCAAATAGCAAGCCCAAACAAACAATGCAAACAAATCCAGACAATGCAACGCTATGTCAAATAGCAAGCCCAAATTAACAGAAGAATAGCCAAACCAGAACTAGCCCCAAACTAGCAATAGCCAAAATTAACAAACCCTAGTAGTTAAGATTTCTTACCTTGCAAATCAAATACCCATAACAGTCGAATTCTACACTCTTCACAGAGCGTGAACAATAAACTTCGGTACTGTTCACTGGATGTGAACAGTAACTTCAGCACTGTTCACAGCCCTTAGAACCACAAAAAAAAAAAAAATCAGAAACCCTAATCCAAGAATAAATCGCCATAGATGATGTCAGCTCTAATTCAAGAATATATTCTTTCTCCAACTAAATTACTGTGGTGCTACAATATATTTTGGATCGAAATCATGGTCTGATACCATGTTAACTTTGATCAATCATAGAAAAGTAAGAGAAGAAAAACATAATATTATTAAGGCACAATAAACCAGAACAACCTTAAAAGAAAACTACTATATAAGAGGTCTTTATACAGTAGGGCAAAAGGAAAACAATTAGACTAAGCTAGGGCAACATAAAAATAAACAAAATGACTAAGCTACCCCTAAGTCTAAATAACTTAACTACTCTAACAATCAGTTCTGGTACGTAGATCAAATAATACAAGCAAAAGTTCCTAGATTCAAGGAGATATAGAACAACATATAAGTTATCATGCTTGCATATCCATCGTTTGAGTCTCCAATAATTATATATCCGATTTGACCTATAGACAAATATGTAAGCATGCGTTTTAAGTTGACATGCAAATTAGAAATCACACTCACAAGATGAAAAGGACCAATCACTAACATATTATCAGATGCCATTTTACATTCTTCTAAGAATAGGAAAGGGCTTTTTAGTTGCTCTTGTATGTAATACACTATTTTCTGTTAGGACCTTGACAATGTAACAACATTCCAGAACATATCTCAATTGAATTTTTCACAAGCGCCAAGCCTCCAGCATTATGAAATACACCACATATGAAGGATCAGATGTGCTTACTCTGATGGCTATCTTCTTCAGTTTGTTCATGGCAGAGAATTGCTTCAAACGAGACAGAACAGCAGAATCAAGAGGTTTATCTGGAGCTTCACCACCAACCTGGACCCAGGGGTGGCCTGCAAAAGAAGATAATCAGTTGTTAATAGATTGTGATGGTTCAACAGAAACAATGTTGACAAAAATATTTCCTTGCAGAAGGATGTGCTTGGAAGTGCATCTTTAAGTGCTTTTCCAAAGTTCTTGTCAAAACATGAAAATATTGCTTTTCTAAAATTAGCAGAATTTAAGTAAAAGCATTACAGGTTGCTTGTAATGTCTACAACATCTCAAAACTAGTTTTTGCAAACAAAAAAATAGTGCCTTAAACCAATACAAACAACAAATATTGGTTCTTCTGAATGTTGGCAGGCGGCAGCCTAGGAAAAAAGCTTTTGTAGTATGCATCATTTGGTTTCTACACATTTAGGCCTAAAAGAAGATGACTCGAGGGAAAAACAAAATCCTTGGAACCTGGCTCTTTAACAGATACTTGATTCCCTTGCTTGGGGGTTGGGGAGCAGGCGATGTGATGGAATCATACATGTCTTTGAAATATAATGGTCCGAACCAAAACATAGGATGACAAAGGGATATCAACCAAATTATATCTATTATGCTACCAAATGGTTGTAGAGAGTGGCACTTCTTCAAAAATAAAGATGCAAGTAGTGTTGTTTACCCTTTGAACTCTTCGAAAGATAGTTGTAGTGGGAAACTATCAACTTTTTAATATAGAACATATGTTTCACTCAATTTTTTGTTTCAGGCTTCTAGGTGAATTTCAGAGCCCATTACTTGGTTTAATGTTAAGGTTAGTTTGGTGACCTAGATGATGAGATGAGAGGGATAAGATGAGGAAGGAAATGCAAGAAGGTGCTGAACCACCCACACACAGTCCCATGTCACTTGGTGACAAAAGCAAAGGGTGCCTTATATGTGAGGGCTGAGAACCTTCGTTATACCACACATTATAAAGCCGCATAGGACAATCCAACGCAGACAATATGTACAGCGATGGGACCGAACCAATCTCGCGATCGTGGGGTGGGTCCCACACAAGAACAAGTGGCCTAAGAGATATGGATTGTGGTGACCTAGATGCTGAGATGAGAGGGAGATAAGGAAGATGGTCTAAGGTGAGGAAGTACAAAGAGGTGCTGAAACTATAGACCGTCGTCATCGCCTAGTGACGAAAATGAAGAGTGCCTTATAAGTGAGGGTCTACAGCCTGCATTGTGTAACGTGTTGTAGAACCATAAGGGGAACCCCAAAGAGGACAACATCTACAATGATAGGGTTGGACCATGACAATTTGGTAATCAAATTCATTCTCTCAGCACTCTCAACTAGTAGAGACCACCATGAGGTAAAAATTGATTTACTTCGAGCTGAAACCTTGCAAGCAATCTTCATTTAGATCAAGAATAGATTAGTATTTCAAAAGAAAAGTAAAGGAGGGAAATAAAAGTTCAATCCTCACGCTGGTACAGCTGACAGGGTACAAAACTAACATTTTGCTTTATTTATACGTAGTTACCCTTATATTCAAAACAATAACCTTACGATTGTTAGCCCGTTATACCATACACAATTATGTTTTTTATTTGTTTTCTTTATTTACTTACCAATAAATAATGGATGTGTTGAAATATCAAATATTTTTAAAATGCAAATAAAATCCTTCTATAAACAGGAAAATAGGTGAGTTTAAATATAAAATGATAGTTGTGGACAATGGACCTGTTTAAAAGTTGATTTTTTTGAGTGCGAAACAGATGTTTGAAAAGTGAAATGAAAAAGTGAAGAGTTAAGAAAACTCTTGGAGTTATTTGAAGTGTTTCTGAAATAATCGACTTTTCTTTAAAAACTCTTGGAATTGTTTGGAGTGTTTCTGAAATAGTTGACTTTTCCCTAAAAGCTCTTGACACTGTTTGGAGTGTTTCTGAAATAGTCAACTTTTCCTTGGAAGCCTTGGATAAACCCATTTTTCAGCTTTTCTGTTTTTACTTAAAAAGTTGATGAAAAGCCTCCCAATAAGCCTGAGTCCAAATGGACCAGCTTCTTTTCCTCTAAAACCAAAAAAAGCTAAGATTTTAAGTCAGCTCCAAACAAGCCCAATAATCCGACAACCACTTTTAGTAGCTCCCACGACCACCAGGCCCCAACGCCATCACCTACTCTACCCCTTTCCCTCTATTACCATTACAACCCTTAGTTATGCCTTCTCACTTTTGCGTTTAAAAAAGGAAAATTCCTCTTCAGGCTTATGAGCCCAACAAGCTTGTCATATATGTGTTTATCAACAAGAAGCAACATAATCTAAGCAGCACAATAAAATGGAATAATCATCTCAAGCAAAATACTGATTAATCTCAACAGTTGATGCCCATAGATAAAAAAGAGCAGACCACACAGCTGAGCATACTTACAAAGAACTTCATGGGCTGTCAACCGCTTTTTGGGATCTCTTACAAGCATTCTTCTAAGCAGATCTTTTGCACTATCAGATATACTTGGCCATGGTTCAGATGCAAAGTCAAGTTCACCTTTTAAAACTTGTTCAAATATTCCGTGCTCCGTTTCTAGTCCACAACATAATATTGCATACAAAAAAAAAAATTAGATGCAATTGATACTTACAATATGCAAAACAAGAAAGAAGAAGATGAAGTTCTCACCATCCCAAAATGGTGGGACCCCACTTAGCAAAATATAGATGATAACCCCGGCACTCCAAACATCACATTCTAGACCATAATGCTTCCGCAGCACTTCTGGGGCCACATAGTAAGGGCTCCCAACCACATCAGAGAATGTTTCACCTGAATGGATAAATTGTTATTTCTTTATCAGAAGGAATGACAGAGGAAAACATGCATACCAATTAAGTTCATATATCAAAACATATGAATGACTCAAGACAATTGGTGCAATATGAACTGGGACATCACTTGCGTAATTGAGAAACGAATTTAATCAACAAAGTATACAGACCTGCAACATCTTCCTGTGCACCAAAATGAGTTGATGAATGAATCATTTTTCCAACATAATAGGCTAACCATAGTTTAAGTTTCCACATTTTGACTATCCAAATTGTTTATGAGGGCATGTGGGTGACAACATATATCAATGTCAACGAAGAAGTACACAAAAAACGGTTAGCTTCAAGGCAAGCTGAAAGGTAGTGAGCATGCCTACAGAGAGGACCAACCCCATCAACAACGTAAGCAAAGTATAAGCCCCCTATTCACATAAGAATATGAGTCCGTTACCTCTATACTACTATAAAGATACACCTACCCTTGCTAAGGCTCTTGGTGGCCCTCATCTTTTGATGTGGGATATACATCCTCCCTAATGTGGACCTAGGCTAGCTCGTGGGACGAAAAACAAATAGACAACTATATACCAATAAATTCCAATGGGTGAGAAGCCTTGACCTACTAATCAACCAAGACCCAGCTCTAATATTCTGATAAAGGCATCCAACCTAAAACCAATAGACAACGAGTGGAAAAGGCCATAGACCAATTTTTTTATTTTTCTTTTGCCTGAACCCCGGGCTAGCGATGCATGGAGCATCGCCCATGTAAACCAACCTTGGACGGTCCTAATGCGTGATACAAGACTCTCTATACAATTGCTATATAATTCTCAACTAGCTGCAAGTGTTTGCACTCATGATCTGAATGAATTTTGATCATGAGTGAGTACATATCAATGATAGCAATAGGGTACAACCACAATACAATACCACAGTCATCTGGTAGCAAAAATTCCCTCAATCCCTCACCAATGCCTGCTATACATGGGTTGGCATAATTTTGTGCAAAGAAGGGTGAGAGACTATCTTTCACTAGAGACGTGGTCAAAAGTGAGGCCTTTTCATCCAACAGTCACACATACCCATGACAGGAGTAAAAATATATGCGGCAACATAACAGGGAACTCTATTCCCTTAAAGGAGAGGAAACGTGGGCAGGCTTATTATGGCTCAGGTTGCATCATGCAGCCTCCTAAGAAGATCCATAACTACCTATAGAAGTTTCTCAATGGAAGTAAGGAAAGGCAAGTAGGTTTAAAAAAGGATATTATGGACCAGAACATTAATCCAAGGCTTTTTAGTGGTATTATCACGACCAATGGGCCATTTGTTCTCTTTTTATTCACTAGAAAGAAAGTGGCATTGTCTCAATACAAGAAATGAATAAAGATCATGGACAATTATGGTGTTTCTTCAGTATAAATGAAATTTGAACGTAAAAAGTCAGTGAAGGGAGTTGAATGTTAGACATGAGGAATCAGAGCAGCCATCAAGGTGTTAATTGTCTTCGAAGAGGTATAAGATGTTCGTAAATGAACAGATATGATATATAGTCACTCATCTACTCCTTAATCTTTGCTACGGAGAATTTTCCATCAATCAACAAAACCATTTTCTGTGTTGATTGCATCAGGAGACAAAGATACAGGTCTTCAGTTTCAAAAGCCAGTGATCACTTGATCTTCTTAGGCTAAGTGCGCTGGTGATTGGTCCCAACAAAAGATCCACTTCTGGATGTTGTACTCTAGTGAGGAGTTCATGAATGAGGCCAACCAACAAAGTTCAACAATAACATACTCTAAAGAGTGCTTTCAAAAAGAACTTCTGTATTGTAATCCTTATAAATTTGTCTTTTAAGTTCATCAAAATCAAACCACAAATCAACTTTTAGAAAAATACCTGGCTTAAAGAATACTGAGAGACCAAAGTCAATCGTTTTAAGTGGTGAGTCCTCCTCCTCATTAACAAAAAGAAAATTCTCAGGCTTCAAATCTCGATGCATAACCCCTAAAGAATGGCATGCTTCCACAACACCTACTATTATTCTTGCAAGCTCAGCCGCTTTTTTCTCTGAATAATGGCCCCTCTGTATAATCCTATCAAAAAGCTCCCCACCTGCACAAAGTTCCATAGTGACATGAACTGCAACAGCATCCTCATAAGCACCTACAATGGATATCACATTCGGGTGCCCTGCCAAGTGGTGCATTATCTGAATCTCCCTCCTAACATCCTCCACATCCTCTTCAGTAGTCAATTTCCTCTTAGCTATGGATTTGCAAGCAAATTCCTTTCCTGTGGCCTTCTCCAAACAAAAAAATGTCGTCCCAAATTGCCCTTGTCCTAGTTTCCTCCCCATTGTGTAAATCTCCTTCAAATTCTCAGTTTTCCTCTGCAGGACTGATTCAACTTTAAGTCCCACACTCGACACACTTTTATTGTGATTAGGCTTATTAGGCTTTGCAGCCTCCACTGGCTTACTTCCACCCTCCTTCACCTCAGGCTTAACTGGCTTAGTGTGTTCGACTGCTTTAGCCTCCTCATTGCTTATTTTCATTGGTGTAGGCGGTGTACTTTGGACCACAACTGGAGGTTCAGATCCTTTAGAATCAGACCCTTTAGGCTCAGATCCTTTGGAGGCCCCAGAAGATGATTTTTCTGAATCTTCCAAATTGGCCACATTGGCGTTCTTTTTACTGCTGGCTTCTTCATTAGGAGGAGGGAGAGTGTTCTTTCGCCAGATTGCTGCCGTAACAGACTGTAAGAACCCATTGCTGCCCAAATTTGGCCCTACACATGTATTCCCCATCAAATACCAGCCTCAAATCTTATACCTCTTGATTCCCATCATTCCAATTTGCTCTAATTGATTCCACTAACAATAATGTAAACACAAATTCAGAAATCCCAATCTCGCTACAAATAAAGGACTAATTCACAAAACCTAACGAAATTTTGGATCCAACCCAATGACCAACTATCAATTAACAAATCAACAGAAGAAAGAAAGATGAAACAAAAAAAACTATGATCCCTACACTAAAAAAAGGGATTCAATCATTTGTGTAAAAAGATGTAAACCTTGATTTTTAAAAGAACGATAGCAAATCACCGTATCAAAAAAAAAAAAAATGCTTGAATATCAGTGGAATGAGAAGGAAATGAGAGAAAAAAAAATGGGAAACTGGAAACGGGAGATTAAAAACGGAAAGAAAATGAAGGAAAACGAGAGAAAGTGTGAGAAAAGTGGAGATTCGGAACGAGTAACTGAGTCGACACGGAGGAGCAAAGGGATGAATCGGTTGGTTTGAATTCCGAATTGATTTTGTGCGAAATTGGAGGGGAAGACGCATTTCCATTCCAGCTTGTACAGAGAGGGAGAGAGAGAGTTTATGGTAAAAATAGTAAATTAGTCTCGTAATGTAGCACATGATATATTAGTCAGAGAGGTTACATGTACGACTCCTGCTATTCTGTCGGACTCTTGCTCTCCGACCAAACACCACACTCTGACGAACGTGGCAACCAACTGGTCGTTACAGATGGCGTCTGCGTCGGTCTATAATTTAGCTCTGTTTTTGGTTTTTCTCTTTCCGCCATAGATGAACACAATTTAGCTCTCTGTTACACACCCACCCACAATTTCCCATCATTGACTTCGTATCATCAATCATCATAGGATTATAATCATGTTGTTCTCGTATATTTTGGAAGCTCTATTCTCTGTCCGTTCTTGAAAAGAAAACTGTAATTTGGCTTTTTGGGAAAATTACGCTCAAATTTCTCAGGTTTCTCGTCTAATCATCCAAATTCTTGATATTAGAAATATTAGGCATAGACTTTCCGAAATTTATACACATGTAATAGACCTGGCAAAGTTCGCCGGTATATCCATCAGTAAAACTCTTAAAATTTGTAAGGGCGGAATATATAAAATGTTATATTTAAATTAAAAATAGAATATAAAATATTTTAAATTCTATAACAAAAATTTATATTTTATTATATAAATTATTGAAATAAAATTAAAATTAAAAAATTATTTTTTTCTTAAAAAATCATAATTAATATACAATTTTAATATTTTAAAATTATTTTGGAAAAATTTTGAATTTGGCCCAACTATGTTTTGCTTTTCGCTCCGACTCTAATTGGCGGAGTAGAAAACAGAGTTAATATAGTTCAGAGTCGGAGGACAAAACTCACTCCGACTGAAGTCAGATTTGGAGTTCAAATACGTGCCTTCCGACTCTGACGGAGTCCAACCTAAATAGAAGTTATATACTTCCAAAAATGACCCTGTATAGTAACACTAAATTTTAAAACAAATTTATCCCAAAAATATGAAGTGAGAAGACAATCCTACACTTAAAATATCAAACTCTTAATTCTATTACTAAATTTAGAATGAATTTAATCAATTACATTAACTACCCTAATGGGAAAGTGGTTCATTTCAATTAGTTTTACTCACTGTCACTGTCAAGGTGACTGCTGAAAAATTTAAGAATTCAACCAAATTGGATTTTTTTTTTTTCTAATTAGGGATTTTTTATTACTAGTTATACAATAAAGAAAAACGAAAGAATGATTTGAACCAGATTTCACAAATGTAGCAGAAAGCCACTAGTCAAAACCACAAGAATCTGATTCCACTGTCATTTTACCATCCCTCTATATTTTGGAGTGGGAAGTAAAATATGATCAAATCAATCAAATATCAGCAATTCAGTAGTGTAGCTTACTGTCCCAATCAGTACAGCAGCTCCCGTTAACACAATTGTAGCCGCTCGTGTACCCATTGATGTTGCACTTTGTAATCTCTCGAGGTGAGGATTCTCGTCACACTTTTTCATTCACGACTTTCATGTTTTTTGATACATTTGAGCTTTGTCTGGTCTCCCCGTTTCTAGTGGTCTTCTTGGCTCTAGAAAGAGAATTTGAAGGCACCTGCCCTAGAATCTGTTACCAATTCCCAGAAGGAAGGCTTCTTCTGCTGGGCTTTTTTCTCCTCTGTTTTTAAAACCAACCCATCAATAGTTCCAGGGAAAGTTGCCTCAATCACATTCTTAAACTTATCGTATAAATTCACCCGGTCTCTGGTTCCAGACACGAGCGTGTTGGCATTTGGCCTCTTGAGAAAATCCAAGACATTCAATAAATTCCTCCTGCAAGAACAAAATAATTTTATGGTTAAATAGTAGGGACTGAAGACGTTTCTTGCCTTGCAGTCGAGAAAAAATTACATATAATGTTGATAGAATTTTTGAACATATATCCCTTAATTGATTTAGGTACAACACAAAAGGATATGTAATGGAGTGAAGTTTTACCATTGTCATCTCCATCATCATCATTGCTGGACTAAAAATTCTATTGGAGCATTATTCCCACCGAGCAAAGTAAATATAATGGAAACACAAATGAATTGCCATGCAAATAATCATGATAATATGAGCCCTCGTCTAAATCTTCCATTCCCACCCACAACCTTATTTACGAATGTGGCATGACCCAAAAAATTGCAGTGAAGGGGAGGAACCAAGGCCACGAAAAAGCAAGCAAATATCTAATCTTCCATGAGCTTGCACATAATTCAACCAACTATTGAGATAAAAATGAATTTGAGCAAATGCCAAGTTTACATCAAGTACAATCGACTCAATCAGTTCACAAGAAACTATTCAGATTGGACTAAGGTCTACTAATGCTACTAATAAGGTCATAGCCTCGATCAGTTCACAAGAAACTATTCAGATTTGGACTAAGGTCAACTAATGTTAATAATAAGGTCATTCCTCCCCACGAAGAAAATAATTTTTTTTACCTAACATGATATTAAAAAAAGCCAAGTATTCTTAAAGCAACACACAAGAAGCAGTCATCAGAATCTTGCTTAAACATGCATAATAAAAAATGAAAAAAAAAAACAGGGGGAGCATACCTGCTAACAAAATTCTGCGTAATGGCAATGGAGTCTTCTAAGTTGATCACCAGATGCCACCATCCATTTGGAACAAAGATCACTTCCCCGGCTTTGCAGACACACTCAATGGGTTTCTTCTTCCATGTCTTGGTAGCATTGTAGAAATTCATGAACCATTCAATTATTGAAACAGGACACGCCACCTCTGCACCATCTGGGCTCGGATGCACTCCTGGTGGTACCACATCAGGGGGGAACAAGACCCATTTCTTGGACCCCTTGATCACCGCATTCCAAGCTGATGTGGAATTAGGATCAATGTGGAACGATGAACCAGAACCAGCTGGTCCAATTATAATCCATCTGTAATCTGGCCTCTCATTGCCCAACACACCAAATAAGTCCTCGCTAAAGTACTCAGGCACTTGATACTCCGATCCCAATGCTGGAACTTTCTCTGCAAATTTCGGGTCAAAAAGATACAATGGCCTTTCTTCCCTTGCTTGATCTGAGTACCTAAAATAATCCTCAAGCTTCATTTCCACTGGCCCAACCGCAAATTTAACATCACCACATGCCTCAACCAAATAATCCCTATCCCATTTTTCAAATGCATCCCAATTATCTAGACACCCTTCCAACAACACTGGCTTATTTGGTTCTTCAAAATTTTCCACAAATTCATCCACAGAAAGTCCCTTTCTTCTTGGAATATTATCCCTTTCAAGCCACTCTGGTTTCATTTCAAGATTGGCACAAAGCCAACTTTGGAACAAATAATCAGAATAAAAGTCCCTAACCTTCAAACCCATAGATTCAACACTTAAAACATCAGATGAAGGCTTATATGCATTGATATATGTATTTTTCCAAGACCCATTATACAAAAACCCATCAATACTCTTCTCCAATACAAGATTCCTCCAAAGGGGTTCATGGTTGCAAAAGACATACAAAGATTTGCTCACAGTTGATAAAATACCCAAATGGGTACCATCCAAAAACCCCAGAATTTCAAGAACAAGCTCATCACTTAGGGTTTGGAGATTACCTAAGCCTGTGTTTCTTGAATTGTTGAAAGATGGGCTGAAAAAAAGATTCCCCAGTGGTTGAACCCCATGACTGTGCGACGGTGCTGAGGTCTTCAAGTTGAAACCTTCCTCTGTGTCCTCGTTTTCTGATATTTGGTGTGGTTTTGATTCTTGCGTTTCGGAAATAAATTTTTTTTTTTTGGAAAAAGTTTTGTAGTTGCCTTTTCTCCTTCTTTTGGTGGGTTTATACAAGAAGTTCTTGCGCTTCAGCATTGTAAGAGCTGAGAAATGGAGGTCTCTGGGGGGAGGGAGAGAGAGGGAGAGAGAGAGCAGAGTAGTTTGAGCCGTCACCAAGGGTTTAAGGGATATCTTACCCGTGAAAATGTGTATTGGAGCGAAAAAAAAAAACAATATGTAGTGTAGAATAATGCTGCTTAACCATGGTAATTGAAGTGGTAAAAAGGACACTTTTTATGTAGGGCTTGGTTTATTTTTTAAACAAGACGAATTTAAATAATTTTTTAAAATTATTTAAAAAATAAGCACGATAAGTTTGGCTCGACTTAAACTTGATTAATTCGACTTATTTATGTGCAAATACTTGAACTCGGTTTGAATTCAACTTGTTTGTGCTCATTAAAATTTAGCTTATTTTTTAAACAATTTGAACTTAAATAATTTTTCATGCTCAATTAAATAAACAAGTTTTTTATACTCGACTTAAGTTCATTCGGCTATCAACCCTAATTTTGAGTAGGGGTGCAATTTGGGTTGGACAATCGATTTTAATCCAAAAAAATTAGAGTTTTGGCAAGGATTTTTAATACTTGGGTTAGGCTTGGGTCAAAAAATTTCAACCCGAATTCAATTTGGGTTGGGCTGGGGATAAGGTCTCGTGAACCCGAGTTCAACCCGAACTCGACAAATTAAAAAAAAAATATATATATATATATATATATATATATATAACATTAACACTGATTTTTCATTTTTGTTCTATTGTTCTCTGTTTCTCTCATTCTCTTTGCCTCTCTCTTTCTCTCAATCTCTCTCATTAAAAACTTAGTTTAAGTTATTGGTTGTTGTGAATATTACGTAATATATGTATTAGGTTTAGAACAACAAGCCTATTTTGACTCTACTCAAATTGAACTCGAATTGAATCCGTAAAATAACCAGAAATCAGCCCAAAATCATCAACTCGAGCTCACCCGAATTAAACTTGGGCAGTGCTCGGGTTGAGAAATTCAACCCGAGGTAAGGTTAGAGTTGAAGATTATATACCTAAAATTGATTGTCCAACCCACCTGAGTTGCACCCCTAGTTTTGAGTGAAGAAATATCATATGTCCCAGTGTATAATATGTCTTTAATTGAATTTGAGAGAAAATTAGTCAATGTGTGCATAAATTAGGCCAAACATCGGTCATTGAACCAAAAAAAAATTTTGTTAACTTGATTAAAAAATTAGTATAAAAATAGGAATCCAAGTTTAGTATGAAAATATGTTTTGTCTCATTTTTCACTCACTTAAAATTAAAATTTTATTCTTGTCATATCTGTTTCACATCACTTCATCCGATTTTTTTGAAGAATAATGTTAGATTGACCAAGAAATAAAACCAAAAACAACAATCAAAAGATGTGACAATAGAAATACTTTTGACCTTATTTTTATTCATTTAAGATGCAAGTTTTGTTTTATATGTCAGCTATCACATTATTTAGACTTTATTTTTGGTCCGAAAAATAAAGGAGGAGATAGGGAGAGGGTATCAAGTTCATTTTGTAGAGCTATTAATCATGTTAGTGATTCAATTTATTCCGTGAACTATAAGAAGGTTATGTGTCTGTTTGTGAGTGTGAGAAAAATTATCTACAAAATCAGTTAATCAGCTTAAGAAGGAAGTGAGTGGTTGTAGTTATCCTATGTTAAAAAAAAAAAAAGCTTAAGAATGAAGTGAACTTTAACCTATTACTAAGAGTCATCTGCACAAAAATTGATCAAAAATCTATTTGAACTGAATTTAAGAAGGCTATGTTGTACTATTCCAAGATTTAAGGCTTCCAAATGTCCCCACAAAAGTAAGGCCCCACTTTAACGGGTTCAAAGAGGTAAATGATGTTAGCAATCAACCGAACTGGGGCAAAGAGGTTATGAAATGTGGGATAAGAAAGAGCCATATATGGAAATGAAACAGCAAACCTGTCTTTTATTACACAATTGCAATCTAATCTCCTTAAAAAGTAATTAACCCTTAAAGTATAACCAAACGAGCTCTCAAACACTAAAATCATCGGTGTGTAAAATTATCGAGGAATAAAATTAAATAAATATAGAGAAACAACAAATTCTGTTCAGGCAGAGGAAAAGCGTAAAAGAATCCCACGATCCGCCTGCATCACGAGTAAATGAAATTCAAAGAATAAGCATGCAATTTTGATTGGGGAATGATACATGTATATGTTGATATACAGGAAAGGATTGTCATTCGACACTTAACCTGAGCTACATCCCAACAGACTATATGACCACGCGTGAGTGTCCATACAGAAATACCGTATCTATATTTCTCTGCTGATTAACCAGCAATCAACAATCATTCTCTAAATGAAGAAAAAGAAGACTGCACAAAACAACCCAACACCCAAACAATGACTTCAGAAAAAGAATGCAACATCTATAGGTAAATTGTGATTGAAATCCACTGTCTTCACAACTGATGGCGTTAGGCTTCATTCACGGACTGTTGATTACAGATTTCACACTTGCGTACTTGAAAGACATCTCCACTGCCCCACACGAGTTCCCTTGTCTAAAAGCATTAGTAATCCCACCTTGTTGGAAGATCGCCCAAACATGTACCTGAAATGGCATCAATAAAAATGTAGAGTAAATTGAAACGCCTACACTTGCAGACCTTGCTATGATAGTGTAAAAAACCAGATAACTACAAGCTTTAAAATCATAGAATTATTCTGTCGCCATTGTCATGTGTCACTGTTGTATTAGATAAAAATGCTGGTGTATCTGATAAAATTTTATTTTAGATAATTATTGTCTGGGATTTGTGGCTAAAAAGTTTCTTCTCCATACATAAGTTCATTATACTGTTTCCCAACTAGTAATAAAAGTGTCATCCACATTAGCATCTATAAATTCACAAAAGCCTCCCTCTGATCTGTAAATTGCAAATCATTTCTGAAGGCGATACACTAAAATATCAGAATTTAAGACCATTTATACCCCCAAATTGCAACTTTCAAGCCCAAGTGTAAAGTCAAAAGCTAAACTGCCAAAGACATGACATTTTATTATTAACTAAGTGCTCTCAGAACAAGAAACATGGATTCATACTACGATATTAGTGATGATTTAAGCAGTATAAGTCTGGCCTAAGGCTCATGAAAGGGCTACTCAGCGATTACAAAACATAGGATAAACAAGAAGTGCATGGTACAGCAAGCATGAAATAAACAGCACTTCTAGAACAAAAATAAATCCTCAGCAAGTTATAAAACTCACTTGCTTCGCCGTGCTTTCTTTCTCCAAAAAACAAAGCACACGATCCACTGTACATAAAACACAAAACGATAAGATAAGTGGCAATGCAACAAAAAGAATGTCACAAGATGCTTGGGTGATATGAAACATAAATTAGAACAATACTTGCAATTCAAACAATCATCAAATGCATATACGAGTTTTAATGCCACACCAGTGTAAAAGACCCATTTCAGAAATAGGTGATGAATTCACAACCAAGGTTCTAGTATTGACAGTCCAGCTAAAATGGACAGCCCAGTACACAAGACTCCCCTCCGAGTCTTGAAAGGGTTGGTGCGCAGCCTTACCCCACATGCAAAGAGACTATTTCCACGACTCGAACTCTTCCGCAACTCGAATGCCCAAACCCTTGAATGTCCAGCTAAAATGCAATAATGATAATCGCTAATTGTTCAAAGGTCACCCTTCACCCCATAGAGTTTTAACTTCTGATTTTTTAAAACCTTACTGTTGACTGCTGCCATGAACTTGAGGTCAAAGAAAGGAAAAGGAAAAGGAAAATAGAAAAGTTGGAAGCTGAAGAAAACTAACAAATAAGCCAAGAAAAAAAATTGCATAACATTGACTGCAGAAGTAGCTACTGCAACAACCAATTTTGAGTAGGCAAGAGAGGAAAAAAAAGGGGGGGGGGGCAGGGGATGCGAAAAGATAAATGACCAAAACCCGTTGTGAATGGCAAATCGATGAAAATGAGGGAAAAAACAAAAAAGAGAAAAAAAAGGTTAGACAAAGAGACCACAAGAAACTGATACTCGGGCAACAATTTTTTTCCTTTTAACCTCTGGCATATGGCTATTGTAAAACATAACACAAGGGGCTCATGATGCTTCACAGGAATGATATTCAAAGAGAAAGGACACCTTTCTTCCGTGGAAAGGAGGAAGAATTCCCAGAAAATGCACTCAAGAGAGTCTCTATAAGATGATTGAGGACAAAGTTGATAACCTTGTTGGGGGAGAAGTAGTATTATAATGTATCAGTATCCTATTGTGTGGTAACTATGAGAATGAATGCATGAGCTAATCGTAAGAGAGCTCAAGCTCAACCCAAAACCCTTTTTAACTCCAGGTTGCCAGCAAAAATTAAAGCATACGCCCTTCAGCCCCAGCTCATTCTCTTTGGGGATGAGGTTCCAACCAACTTTATATATTAAGATGCTCCACTCTATAGCACCTATGAAACAGTATAGCATTCTAAATATAATAGCCTTTTATTACTTAAGATGGTCTAGCTTTGAAAGAAGCAAACTTTAGCCTGATTTTAATCCAAAGACCAGGGTGGGCAGCTATGGTCCAGGGTGGGCAAGTACCCGCTTCAAATTTTTTTTTTTATTTTTTATTACTTAGGTATGTATATTATATATTTGTATAATATATTACTTGTACCCACTCAAAATCAAAGACAAAAATATTAGGCTCACCGTTATAATATAGCGAATATGTATTTTAAGTATTTTTTCAATATTTATAATTATACCCACCCTATTTTTTTAGCACATCAATTAATGTACACTTATATCAAATGAATAATTTTAATTATGTCCATCCTATTTTTTTTTTTGCACATCAATTATTGTATACTTATATCAAATGAATATGAATTTTTTGACACATTTTGGACAAATTATGTACTTATCTACATAAATTTTGAATATACTATAATTATTTATACTTTCTAAGACTAAAAAAAACATAATATTCATATTCACCAGTTTACTTGTGATTTTAACATTTATTTTTACTAATTATGGGAGAAATTATAGAGTGTACATTAAACTGCATAATCGATCAAATGAGTTATAAATATCAAAGTGATAACATAATTGTGTATATAAAGAATAATCAATTTTAAATGATTTTAATTAGACAATATTTTGTAAAAAAAAATGTTGTCGTTTGTATATACTAGACTACCAAATTTTAGAATGTTGGGTTTAATGAACTTTTAAGTATTCAATAAGATGTAATTAAATAAATTATTCTCATATTTCTATCAATTGTAAGAAAAAAATAATAATTTGTTGAAATATTCATACCCACTCTGACATAATTTTCTGGCTCCGCTCCTATTTGTGGCTACTATGAACTATGTTAACCAGACTCGGGCGAGCCCAAGCTCAAAGGAAACTCAACCCAGAAACAAATTGGGCTTACCAAAACTAGTAGTATAACAGTTTGGCTCAATTCACACTCCTTTTGAAAGTTGAGTCTAAATCACGCAAAAGCATGAGTCAAGGGGGAGCATTTAAGAAGAGAACAAAGGAAGCTGCTAGTGCAGTGCTTATGTTCAATCCTAAGGGAGGCCTGATGGATGGAATCTCAAAAGTTTTTTTTGCTAACTCAAAGTCTGTTTGCTGAAGCAGTAGCTATTTGGCATGCCTGTCTCATGGTAATTGCTTGCTCATTGAGGAATGCAACAATCTTGAACAACTGCCTTAATGCGATCAAGTTGAGCGCTACAGAGAACATCCCCCCATGGGAAATCAACACAGTGATGGAAGACATTAGGTACATGGCTAGACTACACAAAATTAGATTTTTACAAAAGTCTAGAGCCAATTTAAAGGCAACTCATTGGGTGGCATCCACTACGATGCACAACTCCCTTCCGCAGGGATGGGTTGGGTGTCCACCCCCAGAGCTTAAGGCTTTTATTGAAACTGATTGTAATTCGAATTTTCCTACTTAATGAAATGAGACCCATTTGACTGTTTGGATCAAAAAAAAAGGGGGAGGGTGGCTAGCTGTTTTGGAAGTTTGGGCCTAAGGCCCAACGGTCCTATGTTCTATGGCCAAACTAGAGCATCGAACTTAAAAAACATGGTAATGATGCTGACACAGACATGAACAGTCAGATGAGGCTAAGTCCAGTTATTGTATTCACAGTGGAGGATGTCAGATGCGGCTACGTCCAGTTACTGTATTCACAGTGTAGGACTATCTGGTGTACACATGTATGAAATGTGTGGAAATATACTGATACCCCTTATGCTCAGTTGCTCACATAGTCACATAATTACAACCACTGAAATCTCAAGACCACTTGTCCCTAGATTGCTCAGGGATATATCCCTTTTTTTTTATAAGAGGTTGCCACTATATCTAGGATCAAAGAAAAGGGCATGTTCAAGGTTGCGAATTCCTCATCAATAATTTCACCCAGAGTAACCCTCATTAGTTCAAAATATGACCTTCATAAAAAAAATTCAAGAGCCAGAAATTACGAGTATAAAAACCAAAATAAATAAGTAACATCCTAAGAAGGCACTATTAGAAGAAAAGGGAAGGCCAGACAAAGAAAAAGATGATCACTATCGTTTAAAGCAAGAAATCATCCAATTAAAGAAGAAACGACAAGAAATAGAAGGAAAAAGAGCAGCGGGAATAGCACGACAAGGCTTTCTTTTTTCCCACAACACTGAAAACAGTGATATCCTTTCACATTATTGCACCAAACAGCAGTTCAGTTACTTTAATTTCTAACAAAATATGGTGGCTTAACAGAGCAATAGTGGGCCTTCCACTATATCTTCTCCAAGCAACAAAAGTACTCCTGCTAATCCAATTATTTCCTATGTAGTGTAAATGATCAGATACAAGGAATATAGAAACACTGAAAAAGATCAACAATAAAAACTCCTAATACTAGTCAATCATGTGCAGTTTTAATTTGATAGAAAAAAATGGAAACAGCCAGATAAACAATGAAATGCGTCAATTGCAGATCGTCACATGTTGGCAACAAACAACACAAAAGAGATATCACCAACAAAATTATTAACTTACCTTGAATATCGACATGAAGGAAAAGCTCCCAATAAGAGATGGTTTCCTTACTGGCATACTTCTTGCAGGCGACATTTCTTTACATAAATGTTGAGCCATCTCCCTCAATAATACCAATTGGGCCTTATCAGTCCGCACCGAAATGATTGCCTGTCTCATTGATTCTCTATCTGCCTCAAGGGCCTGAAGCCTCATGTATAACTTCGTGATCTCCGGATCTTCCACATTCACATAATTCAGTGACTCTCTTGGAGTAGTCATATAGTCATCACCTATTCCAACAAAAGCTTTTGGCTCTGCAATGCCACTATACGCCCCGTTGTGAACAGAATCAATGGTATAAATTCTGTCACTCGTGTCATCTCCAACTTCAGATGTATTATCTGCCTTTTTCAGATTAGAACAGTCCTCTGTCTGTGTGTATTCCATCTTCTTAGTGCTGGCAGCAAGATGGGTAGGGGAATCAGTGTCAAAAAATGAGCCCGTCTCTCTTACCGTCACAAAGGGTGAAACACAACTATCAGTAGAAAACCTTCTACAATGCCTAGGTCGCCTGGGAGACTGACCAACTATCACCTTTTCAAGCATGTGTTTTGCACCGAGAAGATCACCATCAGGCTGAATGTGTCTTGGACTTCTCTCCAGTTGATTGATGCGGTATTCCAAATCCTTCAAAGAACGTGGGGTCTCACCAAATGCATATTTCTCGACATCTACGTCTCCATTGTCAACTTCGGAATAAACTAAGGTCTCATTCACTTTGCACTTGAGAGGAGGATAATCATATGAGGGAAAATCAAACTGCCCATCAAGGTTCTCAACAACACTATTATTTCGGCTCATTCCACCTCTTTCTCCTCCCTCTGCCTCAGCCTCTGTAAACCCATAACTCATTAACCTATGTTTATAGGCCTGAACCTCACAGGTGAGTGACTGAATGGCTTGCTCTCTCTTATACAAAAAATCCTCCAAAGCAAAAAACTCCTGTTGATCATGCGCCATTTTCTCCTCGGCAAACCTCTTGAATTGCCGAGACTCCATTTGAATTTCAGCCTTTTCCCTTTGTAACCTCAAAATCATTGACATAGCCTCATTCGCAGCTGATGAGGCCGCATTTCTCTCTTCCTCCAATTCAATAGAAAGATCCACAATTGTCTGTTGTTGGCTGCTAACCATTTCTCGCAACACAATACACTCATTTCCAATTTCAACACGTGCGACATGGGAAGAGCTAAGACCCGGAATCACACACGCATTGCTTTCCTCATATTCATCAAATTTGCGCTTCATAGTACGAAGCCATGTGCCCGAATATGACCGGTTCATCATCGAACAACCACACTCACAATCACAACAATTGACCAAACTGGTGGAAGGTGGCGGGGATTCAAAATCCATAGATCAACGCACATTAATACAACAAAATTTAACCAAAATTAATCAAGACACACCAACCATACGCCCACAAACTAAAGAATTCCCAGGAACACCAAATCTAGGTTCTTCCAACCCTCCCTCCTGGAATGTAGGTACGCATATCTGTATGTATTCCTCCACAATATGTAACTCAATTCCCCCTCCCTCAATCCCAGCAAACCACAAGCTTCTCAGATCAACAATTCACACGAAAAACTCCTACACAGAGAGAATCAAGACAACATATTCATTCAAAACCAAACCCAAAAGAGAGAGAGAGAGAGAGAGAGAGAGAGAGAAAGAAAGAGGTGGATTACCTTGAAAGCGTGATTAGAATCGAGGATGAGGAGGGAGATGAAGAAAGGAGGTAGATTTTCCCGGGCAAATATACGAGGGAGGTATCTCAAAACCAGAAGACAGAGAAAAACCTGGAGGGTGGGGGTTGGTTTCCTCCCTCCCCGGTGTTTGGAAATTGAGGAAACCGAGGGAAAATAGAGAGAGAAAGAGAGAGAGAGAGAGAGAGAGAATTTAAAACCCTAGACGTGTTTAAGTGCAAAATTATATTTTTTTTACAGAGAGAAAAATGTAATTTAGATGTGTGTGTGTGTGAGGGAGAGAGAGAGAGAATGGGCGGTTAGGGAAGTGTTTGGAGGGAGATTTGTCGGAGATTACAACTAAATCCGCGTCATTTTGGGTTGGTATTTTGGGGGGTAATAGCAAAATTGAAAATAAGAAGTGACCCCTTCCCCAAAATTATACCAAATTTGTAAGAAGGACCTCAAAATCTATCAAATTGTACATATGTCAAAAAAAAAATTTCATTTTTGCTTTTTAAATTTTTTTCGAAATTTGAAAACATAATGATTTTTATTATTCGCGGTCGAGATAACTTTAAATTTTATTTTAAAGTTAATCTAACGGCTAATATTAACACGATAAATTTAATAGGAAAAATAAGTCTCTAAGAGTGTGTTTGAAGTGACTTTTTTAAAAGTATTTTAAAAATTATTTTTCATAAATACTTTTTTAAAAAAAATAGTATTTTGAAACAGTCACCACCATCGCCACCGTCGTCGCCACTACCATTGCCCACCCCCACCACCACCATCTTTGTCGCCGCCACCATTGTCGTCGCTGCTGCCACCACCACCACTACCGTCGTCGCCACCCTTCCATCACGCCACCACCACCACCACCACCATTGTCGCCCTCGCCGCCACCACCACAGTCGTTGTCGTCCACCACAACTATCACCGTCTCCTACCACCACTACTGCCGCCCACAACCTCTCACCCCCACTACAAACTGATGTTTAAATTTTTTTATTTCTTCTTTATATTTGTGATTTAATTTTGGATATGATACAAATATATTTTTTATTTTTTATTATTATGTGTCTTTAAGTACAAACAATAACTAGTATATATATATATATATATATATATATATATATATATATATATATATATAAAATAGAGAAAACCACTCTAGTAGATGACACCTTAAGGTAGACATTGAGCTTCTTTGGAACAGGTTTTTTTAGGTGAAAAGTTGTGGTTTAAAAAATTTTACAAAAAAGTCAGAGTTAAAAAAATCCCTCAAAATCATTTAGGATGTTCTTTAAAAAGCTAAAAAGTTGGAAAAGTTTATTTGGATCGACTTTCTAATTTTTTTTGGTTTTTTGTGTCAAAAAAATAACAATAATTACATGTATATATAAATTATGTATAGTAATTCCCAAAATATGAATTTCAAATATTTTATGAATATAATAAAATAAAAAATTATTTGGAATCAGTGACAAATCTAATGACAACTATCCGTGTCAATTGACCTTCCCTTAAATAAACTCAAATGTATATATTGAAACCAATAATTACAAGCTTATCCATACTCAGCAAATGTGGTCTAAGATAGGGGAGAGGGAGAGGGGGGGGGGGGGGTTACTATATCTCTTTTACCTTATTGTTTCACTTGGTAATCAATCACTTATATTTGAAAATCTCTTTTTGTCAAGTTTAAAAAAGATACAAACTATTTAATGTGGGTCTAGTGCTAAAGGTACGAGTATTAAAGAATAGATGCCAAAATTTGAACCTACCACTCCTGTTTAACAAAATAGAGAGAGAGAGAGAGAGAGAGAGATATCACTTTGTGTTAATAAAATTGCTATGTTCAATTTGTAATTTTGCAGCTTGGTCAACTTGTTGTTTAAGGATGAAATCCCAAGAGGATTTGCAAAGAAAGGTTGCCATCAGCGAGTTACCTTGTCCACAACTTCTGATGTATGACATTAATGCAGATTTCTAGTCTTCACACATGGATTAAAATGTAAGATAATGACACCATCATCCCTTATCCAGCAGGAAAAAAAAATGTGTAAAAGGAGAGAAAGGGAGTTTCTACAATATTATACCGAAAATGTCGATCCAATTAAGTTAAGATCGATTCAATAAATCGAATATAGTAAGGCTTTTACCAATAAGTTCTAGTCATCCCATATCGCTTATCTCTGATCAGATAATATCATATTTCTCTTGCTATGCTAGTTTTGGTGAGCGAACTCTCACAGATTTGAAATCCTATATAAGGGTCTGCTTGTCAGAAGTAAACTTGTAGGCGTGGTTGATCTTCAATTTATTAGGTTTGATTATGAATTTGTGAACTTCATTATAACTCAATTTTATTGGGTTATAATTTGTCTATTTTTTTAATATTTTAAGTCGATTGATAGGATAAATTATTTCTTTTTGAAAGTAAAGGGAGATTGGCACTTAGCTTCACAAACAATAATCTCTTTTCCATCCAAAGCCCAACTTTTAGAAGGAAAAGCAAAAGTGTTCATTGACCCTAGCAGCTTTCAATAAAGCAAGCAGCAGCAGGTGGCATCACTTTAACTAGTACTTTAGGGTTTGGAAGGTTTCACTTAAAAAGAAGGTGATTAAGGTATGATACCTGTTAACCAATTGCGATAGAGTAATGCTACTGACCAAATTTTAGAACTAAATTTAAAGTTCAAATGACATGATAACATATTATTTAAAATTTTTATTAAGATCCAAATGACATGACACTAAATAAAGAATTTCAAATCAGTTGTCATGTCATTTGAGTTCTAAATTTAGTCCAAAAATTTGATAGCATTTCTAATTGTTATAAGGAAGTCCAAACTTGAGTCCATTCTTTTTCATGTTGCGGTATCACCATTTAATTAGAAAACAATAAATAAGTAAAGTGGATTCTACTATTTCTATGTGTTATTGATTAAATGTGATAGTTACGAATAATTATGAAAATAGTGAGGTTCACTTTAACTATTTCTAATATTCTAATTGAATAATACGTCCCGTGACAGTGATGACGTGCTCTCTCCTTTGACACTTTGAAAGTGGAAAAAGAGTTTTTTCTTTTTAACTGGATATCACAAATTAATAAACAACAAGCGACAATCTCGTATGATGAACGAATTGTATCTCATCTCCTTTCATTACCCATTTTTCTTCCTTCTCACTTCTCTCAAATAATTATGAAAACTTAGAGGTGACTAAAAATAATTTTTATAAAATTTCAAATGAGTAGTTATTAGTTAGTGGAGAGATGATTATGCCACATAATATAATGTGATTGGCACAAATGTATTGAAATAAAAAAAAAATCCTAAGAATTGAGGGAATATAAATTTCATTCACAAATATAGGTGTATATAGATTTGAATCATAAATATGAGCAAAAATAATAACTTTTGAACTCAAAGAAACCCGCACTAAGAGCCAAAAAATAAAATATTGGATGTAATGGTGACATCATATGATATTGATGTGATGTCACCAACTAACTAGTAATAGAATATCAAGTGCATTTAATGGGTTTTATATTTTTTTTTTTTGTTATAGGATGTCCAGACTTGTGTCGATCACTCGAAAGAATTCAGCAACTGGTTACCATGACTTGAGTTGGGTTAAAACATGTCCCTTTTAGGGATAAGAGTGGTTAGCCCTTAAGGGATGTAGAAAGGGATTAAACCTAAGACTTTTAAGTTATCAAATATCAGACTTAATTGCTGAACCACTCCTAAAAATTTCACTTCTTTTACTAACTACTAATAACTACCTCTGTCATGTTGAAATAGTGGGTTCACTAATCTTATTTATTATTTTATAATTAGTTAGTGATACCATATAATAATGGTAATATAGTATCACCGAGATACCAGAGAGAGAGAGAGAGAGAGAGCATTGCAGGCCCAAAATGCACCCAAATAAGAGGAACAAGAAATCTGTTATTGAGACAAACAACTTCTTTTGTAGGGATCCAAATATATTTTCGTATGTTTTCTCTCATCTTTAGATCATCATTCACTGTGTATTAGTACGAAACCCGCTCTTAAAGTGGAAAATTACGAGGTGTGATTTAGTATTGAGTGAAAAACCAGCACCAAAAAATAATAAATAAATAAAAAATCCCAAAAGAAGAAAACCATACACAAAAGAAGAGGATAATTCATGCTTGCATATACCATATCCTATGATCACACAAACAACTACATAATATTGTAGACTTCATAGATATACATTCATATTCAAAAGCAATCGACCTCATTTAAACACTAATAGTAACCAGTATTCAACACCTTTAAATTTCAACACACTAAATGGAAAAAGGAATCTAGTAATAATACAAGCTCGCATGACCAATTCACTCAGAGCACAACAAATCTGAACTTCACAAAACATAACCCTAATCAGAGTTTTCAGCTATGAATTTTTTGATCTCTTGCAGCACCCGGTCCGCGACCTCCGATAACGGGTCATTTGTGAAGAAACCATGCTGCTTTCCTTCAAACTCCATGTACCGGATTTTCTTTCCCTGCTTTTTCAACCTCATTACATAGTCCTCAACCCTGTCTTTCAGCAGTTCATCACCTCCCACCATTACTAAAATTGGGTCAAGCTTCACTTGTTCAAGATTTGGGCTATCAGGCCCAAATGGGTTGGCAAAGGGATGATCTACCTTTTGTCCAACTGGTAGTGAGAGTCTCCAAAACCTGTGGTGTTTTTGAAGAAAACACCATAGTCAGAAACCATAGTGTCATATGTTCCTGAAAATCTCCATAGTGTTATATATCTTCATTTCTCGATTTGTGTGTGTTATCCTTGTGTAGAGATCATATAAATCTTCTTTGTATCGTTTCAATTTTATCGAATGTCTCGAAGGGACTGTTATATATTTTCATAAGAGGTAGAGTACTACCGGAACTTATAACATTTTTATGTCAACATATAACTCTTTGAGATTAAGTTATTATAATAAAAAAGTTACTATTACTCATAAAATGTTAGGATTGATCCTAAAACATGTATACTGACGAAATTAAAAATGACGAAGCACAGTGAAATCACCAAAAAAACACCGCGACTTCTTACAAATTTCAGAGTATTAATAGAATTTCCTGCTTGGGGTTGCCCTTTTGAGTAATATATTCGGAGACTTAAGAACGTAAAACAGCATCTGAAAATCTGGAATAAGAATATCTTTGACAACATATTTGATAATGTGAAGAAACTCGAAGACAAACTGCTATAAGTTGCTTCATGGGGTTGCTTACGAGCATCCGTGGGTCGGTAAATGGGAGTACAGATTCTGCCATAAAAACTTTGGAGTGACCGAAAACAATTACGACAGAGCAATCGACATATTTAGTTTATGATAAAATCATCCAAGATTTCAGTAACACGAACCGATGCAAAGATATCAAGCAAAGCCATTTGTTATTACCAAGATTTGAGTGAGACAAAATGCCCTAATCTGTGTTTGAGTAACTCAGCCAGTACTCTCTAAGCTATTACATATGCAATGCCTTGGTCAAATTCTAATAAATCTCAATGACCTATAAATAGTATAGGTGATTAGAGCCCGGTTCGACTCTTGCAAGAGGCTTTTAATTTACGTTCAATACATATAATTTGTAGATCATTGTATAAATTTTGAAATTCTAGTACTACCCGAAAATTAAAAAACACGTTATTGAAACAATTTGTCGTAATATAAGAATAATACATGTAAGAACTCTCATACTTTTCTTAAAAAAGTCCACATAATTAGTCTTGTTGAACCAGTAGAACATAAACATGGCCTTGAATTTGGATATTACTATTTTTTAATATTAAAAGATTCAGTTAAATCCCACTATATTATCCCGATGGATAAGGATAGGGTCATCTTTACTGTCGGGTAACCCACAATCTAATAATGGAACATGTCATTAAATATCAAAAGAATAATAAAAAAAAAAAATCAGTAATCAAAATAGGTGGCTGGATTGAGATGCAACTGGGCCTACCAAATCTTCCCAAAAAGTGGACATCACATTCTTCCAAAAGTTCTTGACTTTAAAAATAAAAAATAAAAAATAAAAAATTCAGATATAGAAATATAATATGGGATCTCAGTCATGCTTGAAAATTGAAGATTTCTCCATTTGCTGATGATTCAGATGAGGTACATTTATTGGCAAGAGATTTGGATTTGACCCGACTTTGGGATTATATATCTTAGTAAATATATAAGGATTGGAGGTAAATTATAAATATATATATCATATTGAAAACACCACTAAGGTACTGCCAGTGGCGTCAAATGGGCTATGGATGGTTTAAAATGGATTGATTACAAAACAAATCAAATCCATTTTTAACCCGTTAATAAACGGTTTATAATGGGTTGAAATATAAGGGGTTGGGTTAAATTCATTAACATGTAAAATAATTGAAACTCTCAATATAAACATATATTAATACATCAAAAATATAAATATTAATACACCAAAATATACACACACTAATATATTAAAAATATATACACTAATACACTAAAAATACACACACATATACTAACACACAAAAAACACAAGCATATTTAATAAAATACCAAAATATATACACACACACACTATTCAACAAGACACACACACGGAGGGTCGGGGTTGAGGTTAGGGTTGGGGTCGGGGTCGGGGTCATGGTTCGTGGGTCATGGGTTGAGGGTATTAGTGTATATGTGTTTTTGGTGTATTAGTTTATGTATTTTGGTGTATTAATATATGTGTGTATTTTTTGTTGTATTAGTGTGTGTGTGTGTGTATTTTTTGGTATATTAGTATACGTATTTGATTTTATTACTTTTATTATTTAATAGAAAGATAAATACTCAATACAATGGGTACTCATTTGTAATAATCTTAATTTGCTTAATTAAAATGTGTCATATTAACTAACTCATTTAGAACTCACATTAATTAATATATGTATCTAATTTATTTATTTATGAACGAGTTGGACAGGTTAATAAGTTAAAATTATCACCTCTATACTACATATTGTCAAAAATATATTCATTTACTTAGACCACACTAATGTATCCTTTCTCTTTGTTTTAAATTGTATATGTGTTCTACCACATTATCTATACTATTTATAAATGTCAGTATCTGTGAAAAATTTTTGATTTCTTATTTTATCTCTAATTATTATAATAAAATTAATTATACCTACCTAAATAGTTTCATCTAATTTTTATTTTTTACTCCTATTTGACTTTAAACTTGTTTTGGATTTTTTGATAAGAACTTCTAAATTTTTTTGAACTTATTTGTTAGTAATACAATTATATACAATTTTCAATATTTATATGGAAAAGTAAAATCTTATATATGTTAAATTATTATACACATGAAATTACCAGATAAAATTTCACAGTCAAATATATGTTATATTTTATTTTTTGATATGTAATAATATAATAATATTATAAACGATCAAATTAATTTATTAACAAAATAAAAATTAATAATTCTATAATATAATTAGATTTGTAAATACTTAAAAGGGTTCGAGAGATACTTAAATAAATAACCAATTATGTACTCAAAGACCTATAGAATAAATTAATAATTAAATTTACTAATAATGAAAAAATAAATTAATTATTTGACACTTAATTTATTATTTAATTTAATTATACATATAATTCACATTTTTTATAAAAAAAAAATTGTTTTATTAATTTATTTTGGCACGTTATGCATTATTAGTTTAATTATGTGTACAAAGGATGATAATTAATTACAACACCTGTCAAACTAGTAAAGAGGAGCCTAGACTTAGACTTTGAATTTTAAGGTAGTAATATGTGAGATCTTATCATTCAAACTACCTTTCCTGATCCAAAAACGAAAAAAAAACTACCTTAGCGGGTTTTGACTATCCTATCATTTGATGATATATTCAACAATAATGATTGCGTCAATGTTCATTATTAGTGGGGGAACTGTACAACAACTTTTGAACCATTTTTTTTTTATTTTTTTTTAATATTTAGAGATTGGTAATCCATTTCTTTAATGGTGACCCACTTCCCATTACATAAAAAATCCTTGGAACATTCCATATCTCGGAAAAGTCTATGCATACAGTCGGTTATTATTTTTATGATAAAATTGTAATTTTTTTTTAAAAAAAAATTACTACTACTCAAAAACAGGGACGACTTAAGCTAATTTAAGACATAAAGTAAAAACATTAAATAAAGGTCTTTTTTATTTCTAGTATTATTTTTAATTTTTTATGTGAGAGAAAGATAAAAGAAAAATGTGTTAATATTGTCGATAAAGAGATTTTAACTTTTATTTTTATTTTTTATCATAAAGAGGGAGAGAAGTGTTTAATTTTAATTTTAATTTTATTTTTTATTTTTTTACCAGAGAGAGAGAGAGTGTGTGTGTGTGTGGGTGTGTGAGAGTAAATATGAGTTGATTTTTAAGTATTTTTTTTAATTTTTTTAATTTCTAAATTTTTAATATTATAGATTGAATTATAAGTTCAAATTATTACAATAAAAATTTTGATTAAATTTAATTTTTGGGACTTTTTTGTAGAGTTTAAAATTTAATGAATTTAAATTTTTTTGTGGAACAATGATGTACCTAAAATTATAGGGTCTTATAAAAATTTAGAGTTTAAAGCCCATACTATTTTTTTTCATCTTGTTGGCCCGGCCCTACTTAAAAAAGAAGAAGTTATAATAGATCACAAACACCCATGATCCATCATGAACTCTCAATATCGATTTCAACATTTTATGATCGATCATACCTTTTAAAATTGTAATTTACGCATTAAAAAAATTATAGTTTTTGGCGATACAATAGCCTTTGTCATATATCTCAGGTTCTTCAAATGAGAGGTGGTAGTATTAGACAAATTGAGATCCTTTTCAATATATATTTTATTTTTAATTTTCTTAATAGAATATTTGTTATATATTTAAATAAAACTCATTATATACGAGTGAATCTCTCCCTCGCTACAAAAAATTTTAAAAAAAAATGTGTCGGAGTCATTCGAGTTCGTACTAGAGAAGGTAGAAAAGCTAATATCAGGATGTGGGTCGTTAGTGGATTCCTAGATATTTCCTTTTGAGACTATGGCCACGAGCAAACATTCCCCCACAACAAAGGGCTAGATAGACACGACCCTTGTGCTGTCTTTAATCCCACTAGCCTTTTTAGATGTTTCATTTCATCTTTATGAGGTTGTGTCAGTATCAAGAGAAGATTCCAGATCCAATTATTATTATTAATTTTTTTTTTAATGATCAGAGATATTATAATTAATTTATGCGTATTTCGATTAATTCTTTTTCTGATCCGATCAAAACTAAACTAAGACTTAAATTATCCACATTAGGACTAGGATTTCTAGTTATTGCATACCTTGTTGTATTCTGTTAACTCTGTATACAAAGTTGACCCTTTTTTTTTTTTGTAATCTTTATACCTTGAGCTTGGGAAAGCAAGGAGGGATATATAAATAAGACTAAGGTTCTGAATTTATTTTGAAGCATTGTGGTCTTTAGTTTAATGATTTTATGAGATTCACAAGAAACATAGTGTATGTGCTATATATTCCCACATTTCCTGCTCAAGCATGTGCAGGTTGACCTCAAACACATCCAAAAAACCATATTGGACAATCTTTTCCCTTTTTCTTTTACGAGATTTTCTCCTATGTAGACGCACTAGAGTATAACCCGGGATGGAAAGAGATTTTTTGCCCTAGAACATGGGGAGAGTTGGTGTAGGTTAGTACTGAAACAAAGGTGGAGTTGTATAAAGACTTCATTTGTAAGTAATGCTGAGTGGGGAAACATCAGCCCATTATTCCTATAATAATTTTTATCCGTTGAGCGACGGCTTTTTCACTCGGCACCGTTGGATTACTAAGGCTGATTTTCATTCCTACTCAACGAGTGGGTCTCACAGTCAAACTCCCCTCTGTCTTTGCACTCGAGGACCAGTGTCCGTACGGCCCGATTTTGAGGACATAGATGGGGGAAGAGAGAAATCCTAGATTAGTGTGACAAAGGGACCATTTTATATAGTGATGTGTAGTATATACACTATGCTTCTTGTGAAGTATAATAAACCTATATAAAGTGTTTTTCGTTCATGGGATTTTGTCAAACTTAAGGTATCGATGTTTATATCTTAATTCAAATTCGTCCCAGTTATCAACTCAACAACGTTTAATTTTAGTTAGTCGGACATGGTTAAATAATGAATAAAATTTTAAGATTATGCTGACCAATTCAACAAGAGTTTTTCTCAATTATTTAAAGTTGGCTAAGTTAATAAAATTTCACTCGTTATTCTCGATAGGATATCCATGCCTAATTTTTACACATAATTAGTGGCATGAACCCAAGTATTTATGTACGTAAAAATCAGCTTATAAATCTTCAAAGTTCAAAAATACCTGTCGAGGATCTCCAAATTCAAAAAGGGTTCTGGCAGTCCCTCTGCTTCGGACTTAGTTCTCACAGTCCCACCAAAAAAGGGAGCCATCAGCACATAACCACGGACTCGAACCGGTGCAATCTCCGGCGAGCCGGGCCTGAGCCGAACCGCCAAATGGTGCGCAATGGTCCCACCCGATGAGTCACCCACAATGAAAACCCGATCAATGTCCACCTCATCGTATACCCACGTATCTACACTTTTACTTATGGCTTGAGACTGCAGCCACTTAACCGCACTGACAGCATCATCCATGGCCGCCGGTAGCCTATGCTCCGGCGCCAACCGGTAGTCCGGCGCCACAACGAGGGCTTGAAGCCCTGAGGCGAGCCGGAGGCAGGTGTTATGGCAGTTCGTCCACGTACGTGAGCCGACACAGAAGCCGCCGCCATGAAAGAAGAATAGAATTGGAAGCTTGGTGGAGGAAGTTGGTGGGGAGAGAGGTTTGTAGAGGCGGAGGTAGAGGTTGTTTTTCGAGTCGTAGAGACAGTCTCTCCAAACAACAGAGGTGTCTTCGTGAACCGGAAAAGGAAACTGTATAACATCTGATCGGAAAATTGAACCATCGCTGTATACTTGGAGAACTCCTAGGCAGTCTTCTACTACATGAGGAAGTGAACCCATCTCTCTCTCTCTCTCTCTCTCTCTGTGTGGCCTGCGTGTGTGTGCGCCTAATACACTGCAATGTCTTGGTGGGGAGATGGTTAACGTGAAGCAAATTGTCTCTAAATAGGCAAGAAAGAAAGGCGAGGGCCACAGGAGTGTCAACTCAACTCAAAAACTTCGCCACGAATCGATTATAAAATTAACACAATTAACATTTTTAACACATTAAATAAATTTCCCTTTTTGTGGATATTAACACAAATATAATACAAAAATAACAACATATAGATGGCAAGATACGAAATTGACAACCCTAAAAGACCTTAAAGTCAAGAGTATTTACATAATTTCAAGTGGAGATATTAAACATACTATCATTTTCATTTATGGTGATTCTTGTATCTCACTTCATTTGACAATGAATATAGGGGTATAAGGTTAGAGTCCTGTTTTTTTGCAGTACAAAACATACTTGTGGTCCGAGTGAAATTCATTGCATATGAATGGATCCTTCACTTATATAAGATAACGGTTTTGTCAAAGAAAAAAGATATAATAGAGATAAATTGTAAAATTAAATGTTCTGAATTCAAATATTAGTAATTTTTTGGAGTCAGACTACGAGGGATTTATCCCTCGTGAATATTCAAGTCTCAGTGTAGATGGTTTGCTTTTGATCGGATCGTGGAGGAGATTAGTCAAGGTGTGCGTAAATTGATCCAGACATCCTGAACTGTTGAACCTAAAAAGAAAAAAACGAAGCCAAAAAATATTAGAGAGGATTTAGATCCGTTTCTCACCACTTGTTTACCCAATTTGACTGATGTTTTGGTTGCCAAGCTCACAAATATAAGATGAGTGACCAATGAAGAAGAAGGAAACTAGAGAGCAAATAAATACTAAAGAGGATTTTGGTGTAAAACCACCAATGAAAAACCATGTGGTTGCGGATTTTGGTGTAATTCTTACTTATTTGATAGAAATAACCTTTGATGATTACGTTTAATCTATCTTAATTTGACCCTAAATCTGTTTGTAAGAAAGAAATATTCAATATAATTGTCTTTTGACGAAAAATCATTTCTAGTATAAACCTATTAGATTTATGAGTGCAACGTAAATTTTGAATACTCATAATCATTTATAAAAAAAATTAGTTGTATGTGTCATAAACTCACACTCCATATTTAGCCACTAAAACAAACCGTACGGGTTAGTTTTTGGTTTTTTAGTCCTCTAATCTTTTCATGGGAAGGATGAACTCTAAATTTGTTGTGATTTTGTGGTACGAGGAACAATCAAAGAAATATAATTAATTAAAAGAAATAACATTATATTTTACGTGGTTCGATAACTTGTTTATGTCTACGAGAGAGTGATTGCTTTGTTTTATTCCACACTAAAAATAGAGTTACAACTTAACTTATGTAAGTTACAATTCTAAATAAGCACATGTTCTCCGTACTGATGGGCCTCTTTATATATTGCATATGAGTCACCTATTGTAATAAAGTTCATATTCGAAACTTGACAATTTTTTTAGAGTCAAGCCATGCGAGAGTTATTTTTCATGAATTTCATAGTTCTGACATAAATAATTTATTTGTGATCAGATCAGAGAAACGTTTAATTAAAATACACAAACGGACTCAAACACCCCTCATCCTAATTAAAAAAAAACTATAGAAACTCTTGAATTGGTGGCCTACTATGATGCACAGATACGGGATACGGGTACGATGTGATACAATACGACGATACGACAAAGTCTAAAAAAGTAAGAATGAGTACGACAAAAATACGACTATAATAAAAATATTTTTAATATTTTTACTATTTTCAACTAGCTTAATACTTATATATTTGAAATAAAAATTCAGTGTGGGCAGGTGCCCCCCTTGGACTAGCGGTAGCTCAGCCCTTGTACGATTGACTGACACAATCGGGTTAAATTATGATTTAAACCATAAGTTATAAATTAATAGGCATGTTCAAGTAAGTTTAAAATTCATAACAATCTCACTTTTTGTTGTATGTTACTGGATTATAACTTGATTCGATTCAGTCATACGTTTTTCCATCGTATAGTATTGTAATATTTTTTTGGATCGTTATGATATTGTATTTGGCGGCATAATATTTCATATATAGTGTATACTCGTGAGCTAGTGGAACAATTAGGTATACTTATACACAACAATGTATGAAAGATGAAAGACAAATACATTTTTTTAGAGCATGTTTGTTTGTTAATGGTCATGTGAACATGCAAGTCTTCTAGGGTGCAGACATTACCTCACTAGTGAGATTATTTTTTGTACGGGCCACTAGTGACAAATACATAGGTGCTTTTGTGGGATTTACACATTTTTAAAATGTATCATAGCTTTTTCTTCGAGTTCTTAAAGGACATGATGTTTATGATCACATTGATGGGTCCTCTGTTTGCCCTCCTCCCACCATTACTGATAAATTCTGGCATTACCATTCCAAATCCAATTTATAAAGTGTGGATGCAAATTTACTACATTATTTTATCTATTGTTTTTGTCGATATTTTTCATACCCTCGTTAAATCAAATCTACCTCAAACTGTTCGTGAAACTTGGCTCAATATGTTATAAAGAGTGTATAAAATACATTAAAATATGCTAATCCTCTCTGATTAGGTATCGAAATCCTACTTATATGAAAATAACGAAAATAAAAAAAAGTTTTTTATTGTTTGATATGTAGAACAAAACAATATATTCTGTGATATGTATTTTAAGAGAGCCGATATAAATCAGATCTGAATTTTTGAAATAGATTATAAATTCTTTAAATTTTTTCTTAAAAACAGAATTGCTAACTTGAAAGTCTAAAGCATGAAATTTACCAAAAGAACAACTACAATGGCAGTTGATTATTGGCTCATTCTCAAGTCTCAACTCATATACCATTTAAAGTAGGATTTGCGCTTCGTCGGGGGATTCAAGACCACACCGGAGGCTTAGATAAAATTTGTCTAAACAACTGAAGTATTGTCCTACCAAACAACCACACTTTTGCGCCCAGGAGACTTCGAACCCCTGACCTCTCATTAGGAAGCCAGAAATTTTGACCAACTGAGCTACCCCACTTGGTTCTTATACTCTCTTGATGCTACTTTTGAAAGGTGTTTTATATTATACCATGTCCATGACTTGGGGATTGTGTTTATCCTCCTTCTTGTTGTGACTTGTTTTTCTGGTCCAACTATATGTAGTAGTTCAACAAGAATATAATACGTGTAAAATTCGTTTTTGTATGATGAATGGTTAATTACAAACAAATCAATCGCAAATATATGATGCGAAATTCTTGCCAATGGTTGAGATGTTCAGTCGACTCCCTCCCCCTTTATGGCAATTCGGGCCCCAACGAGTGAGCACAAAAGGGAGGAGGAAGAGGCCCTGGTGCACCGTCATAATTAGTGAACAAATTATTTTTTTAATATATTATCAATTTTTTTTTCAGTAGCGTGTAGGCTTATCCTCGTCTAGTTCATGCATGTTTTTGATCTTTTCTCCTGGTAGGGAACCATGTATGAGCATTTTCACCTACCCTCTAGAAAGTAACCGTGTTTGGTTATTATTTGCAAAACAGTTTTTTGTTCTCAAAATTTTAAAAACACAAAAACCTGTTTATTTAGCATTTTTGTTCTCAAAATTTTTGAAAAAAATGAGATTTGGAACACAAAAACAAAAACACAAGCCAGGCTTGTTTTCTGGGTTTTATTTGGAAAATTGTGAAAACATAGGAACCCCATTTACTACGCACTAATTGTACCACTATAAAAGCATTTTTTTTTTTGCATTCTTTTTCCCTGACCCCTCTCTCTCTCTCTCTCTCTCTCTCTCTCTTGTCGACACCATGGATTTGTCTTCAATCCATAGATCTAGTGACTGGAAGCACAGATCCGACGACTGGAAGCACAAATCCTTTGGTGGTGTGGGTGTTGGGTGGTTCTCGGTGTGGGTTGGTGGTGGTTGTGGGTGTTGGGTGGTTCTCGGTTTGGGTTGATAGTGGTTGTGGGTTGGTGGTGGTTGTGGTTGTGGGTTATGGGTTGGTTGTGGTTGTGTTATGGGTTGGTTGTGGTTGGGTTATGGGTTATGGGTTGGTGGTGGTTGTGGGTGTTGGGTGATTCTCGATTTGGGCGATGCTATTGATGCACAGTGAAAGAGAGAGAGACAGAGAGTGGTAGTTTTGATGCACAGTGAAAGGGAAAAAGACAAGAGAGTTGAAGATTTGTGGGAATTGTGAATTATTGTCCAAACAAATTTTATAATTTTTGTTGTTTAAAATTATTTTCAAAAATATATAACCAAACAAGTTTTGTAATCTAAAAATTTTTAAAAACACTTCTTAAAACTCTTCTCAAAAATTATTTTCAAAAATTATTTTTTGAGATACAAATCAAACAGGCCCTAAGTTTTTCCTTCCAACCTTTTAATTGATTCCTGCTTCTATTGATAACTACTCAATACTCTTTTTTAGAGGTGTACTCAATTTTTTTTAATGTTTTTGGATTATGTAATAACTTTTTTTAAGTCCAGTTACAACTAAATAATATTGTTTGAGATTGGTCCTAACATTTTAGGATTGATACTAATTTTGTTTTCGTCGTAACGTAACTTCATTTACTTGTAAACTTGATTCAAAAAAAACAAAAATTTATGAGCCTGTTTGGTTTACATCTCAAAAAACAGTATTTGAAAATAATTTTTGAGAAAAAGTTTTAAAAAGTGTATTTTAAAATTTTAGATTACAAAACTTGTTTGGTTATATATTTTTAAAAATAGTTTTAAAAAACAAAAATTATAAAATTTGTTTAGACGATAATCCATAAAACTCACAATTCTCATCTCTATCTTTCTTTCCCCTCTCTGTGTGTCCACAAAATACACACACACACACACACACACACACACAACACATATAGACACACACACATAGACACATACAGACACACACACACATAAACGCGCACACTCATA